CACTGGTTATGAGTCCATGCGTAGTACGGCGCGGCATCTGTTTGGTGAAAAGGTTTCCCATTTCTTGGGTGAAGTATGGGATTTGGACAAGGAGGGAGATGTTAATTTTGTAAGTGGTACCATGATATGTCGAAAAGCTGCAACAACTGACTATATGGTATTTTAGATGTGGCAATACAGTGGACACCCAAACTTTTGGTTCATGGGCGGTAGTCTTGCACTTTGCCGGATCAATTCTCGCCTTCTTGCTCTACAAATTAAAGCAGCTGAACTTGGTTTTTATAAGACTCCAGAGGGAAATGTTTGAGTAAATAGACCTTTATGGATATTAAGAAATAGTATAAGAATAGAAGTCTTATTGTTTGTAAGAAAGCTCTACTGGGGTAAAGCTAGCAAAGCAGCTGCTCATCGGGTTATAGTAGCAAAAAAAAGAGAAGGGCTGGTTTAAGGAGGACTAGTTAGATGTTAAGCAGCTTAAGGATACTATAGAGCAAAGCTGATTTCAACTTCGCGATTGCCTAACGTATTTCGTGGTAGGGTCTCGATTATATACACCCTTATCATGATGAACCTGATATAGAACTAAAATGTGGTAGACTGGTCCACTCGTTACACAATCTCAACTGGAGTAAAGGCAGTTTCTCCTGACTGGACAGCCTCCCCGGACATTATCCCGTAAATGAAGCTGTCACAAACGAATTTATAATGCGTTTCCCCTGTCTTAGTCTCGACTGGCCTTAAGATATAAGGAACACGTCCACCTTTCAGGATCCAAACTTCATCGCCCTCCCGAGCCAAGTAACTTACTAGTCCAAGGTAACCACGCTCGCTTTGCATGAGATCTCGTGTATGGCAATAAGAACTATACTGCCGTTGAAACCCAGGTGGACTATTGTCCCAGCCCCGAAACATCCTCCCGCCAACGGCTTCGATGGCTTTCCGACTTGGGAGGATGCAAGACTCTTCGAAGCTTCGGAGAACCTCTAGCAACTCCATGGCATGCTGACGATCTTCTACCATCGACCAACATTCACAAATAGCTTGGTTGAATGTCTCTTGACCCAGCTTCACTTGATCCTCGCCTTGGAAAAAATCCATCGATAAGGTCATCCACAATGCCTCCACCCGGCTACATTTGTTGTGGTATTGGACATCAAGCCACGATGTTAGCTGCAACCAGCCAGAAATATTGGGGAAAAAGATATCATCTATCCCTTCCATACTGTTCTTTGCTAACCTTACTATGCGGTCGAATCGAAAAGCGTCTATTTTCAGAACAGAGCGATCAGAATCCCAAATCTTGCAAGGGGAATGGCTCCCACAAGCATTGAACCTCTGGTCCCATAATGGTGGTGTAGCTAAAGGGAGTTGGAACTGGGGCACCCAAGAAGGTAACCCTTGTATATGATCGAAATTATAGCCGCATGCTTCACCTAGTTTTTGGTGTAGTTGTCTCCGAGGATACTGAACCCAACTCAGCCCTTGCAATGGCTCCATACCATTGAAACTCGCTTCATTATCGCCTCTCGCTTCGATCAGTATCCTACCTGCTTCAATAAAAACATCCGCGGTAGTTGTTGAGTAATTTGCAACCATGGTTTCGTGGCCGCCATCTTCCTTGGAATTCTTCGCTATTGGCGCCATTCCCACAAGCGCGAAAATCTTGTCTCTAGGGTCTGAGCATTCGAATTGCCAGGTGTTGGCAACCAGCCAGACTAAGCTTGGTGGTGGTTCTTGGTCATCATTGTCCGGGTACGACTTTGCGGAGGCGAGCCACTGCCCCAACTCCATGAGAAATGTGAATCTTATCGCCTTGATGGGCCGACCCTGTTGAGCTCGGAGGGAAAGCATTTGCTGAAGGATTTCATTCTGTTGCAAATACGAGAAATTCTCCGCAGTTGCATTCAAATTGTAACTTCCCCATACCATTTCAAGTTTCTTTGCCATAGTAACTTCTTGGATGACCCATTTTCGACGGAACCATGCCCGGTTCGACAAAGCAACCAGTGCATCCGCCTCCTCAGGAGATATGGGGCCATGGACGAGCCTTTTTGCTGGTGCTTGTAACAGGGACGAGATGATTGCGGTCTCCTTTGAGGACACGCCCAGCCAGATCTTCACAGACTGAGCTGACTTATAGATCTCAGACATCAAGGCTACCTGTGCATTTCGCTCTTGAGCATCAGCCTGGTTTATACATACAGCATCAACCCAGAACTCAAGCTCACAAAAGTCTGGCTCTTTCGTAGAACTCCAAATCGAGGGTGGATCTTGAAGCAGCTGAGCAACTTCCTTATGCTGCCCTCGCCTCCACATCAGGCAACAATCAAGAGGAGTGCGGTGAGTATCATCTCGAAGATCAAGCCTGGCCCCGTGGGCTAGTAGCATCTTGACAATGTCCAAGTGTCCATTCTCCGCAGCGTAATGTAGCGCTGTTTCACCCCAGCAGTCATACGCTTGAACGTCTGCACCTCGCTTGAGTTCATTGATTACATTTCCCACATAACCCTTCTCGGCCGCTGCAATTAGCCGGGTTTTGTTGTAGGGCTTCAGCCTCTCATGAACATCAGTGCCAGTGCTAGAGTGCTTTTCTGGCGCGGAGAACTCGTACAGCGCTTCATAGAGGTTTCTCCGCACCCAGAATATTTTGCCATTCACGGCCAACGGCCACTGGTGACAAGGAGCATAGTCATCTAGGGCTTGGACCTGAGGTTGTCCGAGGGGATTGCCCCAGCAGTAAGATAAAGCTTGGAAGGTGGGAGAGTCCCTCAGGTCCACCGTGTGCAAGACGCATTCAATGAGTGGTTTTCCAGATGCTGTCGGCCCTATCTTGCGGCGTTTCCCCAGTGACAGTAGCCGGATTGAAGTTTTATTAGGTAGAGCTTCATACTGGAAAGGCTCAAACGTGAATTCAGGTAGCCGACGTTCCATACTGCAACTTGGAGGTCGATTGGTATACTATGATATGCCACGGAGTCTTGTCTTGCTGTAGCCTGGCAAGGTTGTCCTTTGACAAGTGGCCTGAGCTTTTACCCCCGCGTGTTATCGACAAGGTAAATTAAGCGAGCTGACGCCAAGTCCATCACGCAGGGGATGACACTCAGCGTTAGTAGTATCAACCTGAATAACAAACTAAAAGAGTGCACATAGTTCATAAACTAGTGTCATTTCCTAGTCTGCGATATACTGGCACATTAGATATCGTACTCAAACCACGAAAGTGAATATAGCCCCCCCAGACATCATGCCCAAGGTGGACATAAATAAGTCACCCGTACAGCCTGTCAGAACCGTATCAGGGCCTGATGCGTCGCTTTGGGAGGATGGAAGAAGAGTTAACCCGCCTTCTTCAAGTTCTTCCCATGATGATGCGGCGGATTCTTCCGTCCTCGTTAACTGGGCCGTTCCCGCCGCTGCGTGGCTCATCTCAGCGAGCCCGTTCTCCAAGAAAGCGTCTCGCATTGAACAAACAAAGTGATCCGTCGCCCGAAGGAGCGTTTGGCAAATATATGGATCCTTTCATACCTTCTGCTCCTCTATCAATGCGCCAATCACAGGCTACCTAACCTAGACACGGCTTTATTATGCTACCTTATCGCTATAACTATTTATCGATAAGATTAGCAGAGCTGATAAGATAAAAAGTCACCTACCCTAGATCTTGCGATATGTCAAGATGCATCGGCGTAGATTGAGGATATTGGAACAAGAAATAGCAGCTAAATAATAAAGATGTCGGGGTTGTTCTGTCCCTTTTCTTTCCGTAATTTTCATGCTATGATTTCCGTGTGATAGGTCATGACATCCTCAAACCACATAATGCTAGAATGGTTTTTGTGTGTGAGTACTCCAACATGGAACTTGTTAAATCGAGTCATTGAAAATAGCTGGCATAGGTTCCTACACAGTCGCTATTCACCCCAAAAGCACTTTAAATTAATCTCGCCACTCAGAAGACGCTCTCATATTTGATGAGATATGAACAATGACGTAGCATAAGCCACCCTGCATTGGGGCTGAGACTGTGGCGTGTGGCTGGTGCAACGCGGGTAACAAATCAACACAACTCGAGGCTGTGACGCGAATCTGCCACTGTACACGCGCGAGGACGTTTGACACCACGCCAGCATTGCAAAAGCGCTCTGTAAGGTCATTCCATGCCCTGCGGGACCCAAATACTGACAGATTAGAGTGATCAGCCGTGCTCGCCGCGACACCCTTGCCAAAGCAGTTTAAACCCGGCGCGATATCGACGAAAATAGAAACGCTGCCCGACGAGACATGGCATCATTAGCGAGCTATCGTTCGAGCCTCTGCCTGCCTATGCCGTGACAAGAAGGCGAAAAGAACCTTCCTCGACGATCCTTTCGGGAACCCTCCAAAACCTCATTTCCGACGACGCGAACGCAACCACGATCGAAGCTACACCTGGCTCACGAATATACAAAGAGTGTCTTGTGGAAGCTGGTCGATTGTGATTTGGAGCCTGATATGGATGGTCAAATTACTCCTGCTATGCTATGTTCTTCTCGCAGCGGGGGTTCTGCTCCCGATTGCTCTGGTTGCTAAGCAGGCTGTGAGCATGCGAGAAGGATGGCAACCATCGCCTCTGGGCGAAATTATTCCCACCGCGTATACTTCACGTTGCCTATCTGGGCTAGGTGAGTAGTGACGAGATATCTCTTCAGTGGTGGAAGTCGCTTCATTTGATGGTATCGCCTGGGATAGTCTCAGACTCTCAGCTCGTAGGCCTCGGAGATAGATCATTTGGAACTGGGGTAGCAAACACAAAACCATCGTGCCCTGACGTAGAAGAATAATCTCTGCTATTAAATAAATGACTGTAAACTATCCCAATGATTTGCCTGACCTGCTTTGAACCTCGACAGATTTTTAATTGTTTACATTCTCCCTATTGCCGTCAGCCGTTCAAAATTCCTCCACCAACTTGCTCTTCGCCGTGGGCAGTCTTCCCCCCCGTGCTTTGACATTGTTGCCCCTCACTGCTTTCCGGATCTCTTCTGGAGATACTCTCTGAGAAGCAATGGCGCTGTCTGCTTGATGACAGACTCAGGTTCCCACGTGGGCTTCGCCCAGCCAACCCATTCCACGAGGATCTGGCGCTTCTTTGGGCTGCCCTTGACGCCCTTGAAGGCAAAGATGGTGAATGATTCCGGGTCCTGGGGGTTCAAGGGTCGGCCCTCTGGCTGGCGGCTCCAGTAGTTGATCAGAGCCGATTTGGCGTCTCGGTGGATGGCCTTCTCCGGCTCCCAGGTGATCTCGTCGGGGTCATCCCAGTGGATCTGGAGCTCAATGTCGTTGCCGCTCCAGCGGTGGTTGACGATCTTGCGAAAGGTGCATTTTCCAATTTGGTTGCCGGATGCCGAGCTGGAGGCTTTGGCCGGTGGCTGCTTTTTGGCGTTTTTGACCCGAGTCGCGCCGTTTGGCTGCTCATCAATCGCGGGCTCGCTGGATTCATAGCGTGGGGGGGAGGGTGAGGCAGATGAGGAGGAGTAGTCCTCATCCGCCGCGCTCTGGCTGTCTTCCCATGATTGACGCATGGCGGCAGATTGATCACGACGAGAGGTTCTGAGTGCGCCGCTTTCGTAGGACAAGTGGGAGAAGTAGGCGGGATCGCCGGAATGCGTGAACGTGGTGAGGAGGAGAAATGAAACGGTGGAACGACAGGACGCTGAACCTGTTGGTCTCAGGCCTTTTTGATGGGACAAGGGTAGCAGCAGTCTGGAACCTGCAGGAAGACCAGGCAGATGAGCTGCGCTGCGACTCTCTGTCGCTTACTATTATGTCTGTCGCTCGGCACTGTAGAGAGCACTGGAGAGACTGAAAATTTGCAGAAACAGGGCTGTGTTGCCAGCAGCGAGCTGTTGTAAGACGGGGCAGCAAAAGAAAGCAGCCAGCCATTTAGTATTGATTGTTATTGTTATTATTTTTATTAGATCACCAGCCAGCCAGCCATGACGTGATCACTCACAGTAATTGGCTCCCAGATGCAGACTATCGTTTCAAATTGACATATCATTTCCGCTTCGGATGCCTCGAAGAAGCAAAGAAATACTATCCCGATACTGGAGACGATCGCGAGTGAGCTTTCCATGCATTGACCTGGCAACAGATGCTGCATATCGTATCTGCTACTGTTTAACTTTCACCTTGCAGCGTCTCAATTTCCGTGAGCATGTGCATCAGGTATCTCTATCAAGAGCGTTCGTTCTCGATAGGGCAGTTCTGACACTTCCCAGGATTTTCGCAATATTGTACTTTTTTGGCACTTGGTACATATCTGGATGCTTTAGCTCAACTAGCACATTTATTGAAGGAAGGAAGGGGATTTGGACCCGATGCAAATCGATTAAATAGTAATATTCATATCAGGGATGCATCTCAAACTGCACACACAACGGGAGGCAGGCGATATGAGGTGTAGTTGCTAGCATATATTTGGCCGTCTTCACTAGGAGACATGGCAGGATTATTATAGACCCTAAATTCGGCTAATTCTTTCAAAAACAGGATTGGCTGGGAAATACTTCTTTCGGTTCGGTTTGCTGATATTCTGCAAGATGTGACTCACGCTTGCGAGTGCCAATATTGTCTCCTCACGCCACACCTGGATTATTATTGTAATTACTGCCTCAATTCGGGAGGACACATACAAATTGTAGGGTGCATGTGATGTGACAGCTGAATGGCCGCGCATTTTATATGCTCCAAATTTGTTGCCTATCTGAATAACTGGTGTGGCAGCTACGAATAATCGCATGACTATGGAAGCGATGAGTGAGGTGAGCTTTAATTGACGAGTATAAATACTGACCATAGGACATGTATCTAATTTGCATCAAATTTAGATGCCGACAGCATTGATAGAGTATCTTTCGCCCATCTCCGTATCCTTTATTAGTAAGAACTCGCCTATTCGGAGAGTTTTGATTCAGCTTACGGACGCTAAAGCTAATGAGCTGGATGGATTCTGGGGAGGCGCATACACCATTGATGCAGGTCTCAGGTGTTTTCGTCGCAGCTGAAGCCGGGGTAGCTGGAAGCCCCGACAAATTATCTTCCAACTGAGACTTGTATTCGTAAGTGTGCTGAATTGGGTTGTAGCCACCGCCACCATATCCTTGGACTGGTTTTTATTGACTCCTTGTGTTTTGGGTCATGTGTATACACGGGAGCCGAGACGGTTACTGGGGATGAAAGGGGTCGTCGCCTTTATAACGAGGGGTAGTGCATCTTTTTTTCGGTACAATTCAACGATTCCTTTGTGTGATAAAATTTCTTCCGTGCCTCTTCGTGAAATATATGGTATCTTACCAAGGAATTGGGTCACGCTTCATAATGCAGTCTTCGGCTCTCGTCACGCTCGTTTTTGCGGCCTTTGCCCTCTGTGACCCAACCCCTCAGGTACGTGGTATAAAGGCAAGCTCGAACAATTCAAGCACCATTCTTTTTATATTAATATTATAGGCATCCCTTTTCCCATCTTCGGGATTTGAAGGTAAACCGACGATCATCAATGATCTTGGCGGTTGTGTCAACATTCCCGAAAAGGATGATGCGTAAGTGATTCTGAAGGCTACCCATCTTCTTGCATTCTAACGTGATATAGTTGGTATAATGTCCATTCCTACATAATCAAGTCAAGCGTCGAATGCGAGTTCTACAAGTATGTATAGTTGCTAGCTCATACCTCACCACTCTCGCCACTAAGCAATTGCATATAGGTCTGAAGATTGTGAACGATCCGCTGGAAAGTTTAGAGGGGAAAACGACAAACTCATTACGAGCAACATTCAATCCGTCTTTTGTCTCGAGGTCTCGGAGGATGAAGTTTAGTATGAACATGAGGAAGAGGGGAGGTTTAGCATCCGTGCGATGAGTGCGTAACACACTTGTCTGTGATCTTCCGTTCATTCGAAGTTGGGTCCTCCTTGATCTATATGATAATTTTAGACAAATACATGGATTGCCGATGCGCCCTCCCAGACTTAATTTTCGCATCACAAGGGATTTTACTGCTTGATGAAGTCGCTAAGCCTCTGCGCATCCAGAAGATCTCCCTCAACCAATCGACCCTTCTCAGATACCTTGCCGTTCACCAGCTTGAATCGGGCCAGAGTTGGAACGTTGTGGACATCCCACTTGGTGCGGAATACGTTCTTCGAGTCCCTCCATCTAGACAGGACGTTAGCAACCTGGTGCCATCATTTTGACTCTGCAAACATACTCGGGAATCTGGCCGACTTCGGCGATGACCAGGTCAGGGGTGCTGTCGCCGGCAAAGGCCTCACGGATACCAGGGAGAGTGGCGCGGACGTCAGGACACCACGGCGCACCGGTTCTGGGGTCTGCGGAAGAGATGAAGGCGACGAACAAGGTCGAGTTGGAGCTGCCAGAGAGGTCGAGCTCGGCCGCCGAGGCTGGGAGCTTGAAGTCCTTGAGGATGGGCATTTTGGAGGCGGATTATTGGGCGTAATCAGGGGACAATTGAGGTATGGATGAGGAGGATGGAAGTTTGCTTTGTGGTGGAATTTATGGCAGTGGACGAATTCTGAAGTGAGGCATTTGTCATCTGAAGGGATGATGCCATTGGCGCTCGTGATTGGCTCATCCACTTTGATTCAGTTGCAAACGGGACTCACCAATAGCAACAGAAACTTTGTACTTTATTAGCTGTGTAGCCTCTGATATAAATGGCTGAATATCGCAAAGCAATAGTGGAAATGGCCGCCTGCAAGGTTTGATCAGCCGGCTGTAAGATTGGCACTGGGAAATGAGAATTGATTCAGCAATCGCCATGAAATGAAGCTAATATTGGATTGCTTCCTTCTTTTCTCCTTTTCTTGAATAAAATACAATAGAATGAGGACAGAAATATAAATAAAAAACGACTAAAGAAAATATCCAACTATGATTTCAATGCAGATGGGCCAAAGTCATATCGAAATATCAAAGCTCAGAGTAACAAATCGTTTCGGGCGACATGATGCCTTCCAAAGCCTTATTTAGCCTTCCTGCACTGGCATTTGGTCTTGCAATCCTGCTTCTGAGCCGTTTCACCGGTAAAACCACATCTGGACTTTCCCATGACGCAGGCCGAGTCTGGGCACACTGATCGAGGACAGTCCTGCCCTTTTTTGCTGCTGACCTCACATTGTCCGTTACGTTCAAACAGACGGTTGCGGTTGGGGCTTCTCCTTCCACCTTGTTTGCCCCGGCCTCTTTTGCTTCCTGCGCCGGGCCCATTTACCTTGTTTCTGATTCTAGTCCTTTTGTGTGAGGGGGATCCAAACCCGTTCACCTTGTTGGCTGCGATGAACCAGATATCATTAGTGATGGGCTTCGTCTAAATACAATACAGTTGAGTTCTGCATACCATTGCGCTCTTCCAGTAGTTCAACAGAATTGCCGCCATTGTTTTAAGCAGCAAGCGAAACTTGTGCGGCACCGAAAATGGCAACGGCAAGAACAACCTTGAGAGAAAGCATGTTGATAATTAAGATCAAGGTCGTCGTGTATAGATATCGGGGTTTTGGATAAGGGAGGCTTGAATTTTGATTTTCGAAGCGATTGATGGTAAGTCAAATCGAACTTGCGAAATTGAAAGACATACTTATATTTGCATCATCCGTAGCCTGATGGTAATTCAGCTGTTAGACAAAAACAGTATCATTTAGTTTAGGAGGTCGTCTGACCAAGATTTCAATATTTGCTCGCAAGTAGGGTTGCATTTATTGACCGTCGTAGTCATCAGTCCTGCAATTGGCCAATGCAAGATGATACGGCAGTCATCCGGCAAATCCTCTCGTGGTTAATCTCACATCATATTGAGAATGTCATGGTGCATCAATAGGGCAACAATGTTTCTATTGAGTGCAATCAAGTTACCAACCCTCCTTGCTCGCTTTCTCAGCTGACAAGATTCCCTTCATAATCGGAGTGGCAAAAAAGTGTAAGATTGCAATATGATAGACTACTTGAAACGCATGAAGAGGAGGCACGGCAGAAGATAGAACGCAGAGAGTGACAATGAACGTGAGCACAAGAAAGTTGAAGTTCTAAGACGCTATGGGAATACACTACTCTCGAGAGTAACTCTCGGAGTACATGAATCCCGATACAATGGAGTAGCATATGCCGTACAACAACTCAATTGCCGGGCTTGCCTCTGCCAGAGAACCTTGAATTTAGCGGTAGGTTCATTGAGAATATTCCGTTTGGAACTTCTGTAATACAAGCGCGAACAATTGTGGGCGGATGCTTCACGTGTAGCTGAGTGCTTCCTTCATCTTACGGTCAAGGCCTTCCGGCATGATACTGTTTTGATCATTCAAATATGTGTGAAACGGGGTTGGTGCTTGGCGATGGAGCAGTAACTGGGTGATTCAAACCGATCGGTTAACAACTTGTGCCCCTCAAAGTGTGATAATACCCCTGAAATTGATGGGGCACAACATTGGAACATCCCCGCTATGACGGTACTTTACAGATAATTCGGGTGACCTCGGCCGTTCTTCAGCTCCAATCCCGATTGCTGACGTCTGGTGAGAATAAATTCAACGACCAACCTCAATCCCGGCAATCATCATCATCATCCACCCCCATCACTCAGACTTGCTGACCCTCCAAGAATCGCACCTTCAAGAAAAATGGCTTCGTCACTCGGGCTCAGCTTCGCCAGAAACCACATTTCCTACTTTGCGGTAGGTTCAGACGCGTCAGCAAACCATTCATCAAGCCCAAAGATCAGCTCACAGCGCGTCGCGAAAGAAGTGGCCTAAGTATAGTAGTGACTGACTAATGTTTTTTGATCCAGATTCCTGCTGCCTTCGCCTGCGCACATATACCGCATCTGTACTCAGTCATCGCCTCTCAAGGCGCATACGACAATTCCAATCCACGAGCGCTGAAGGACAGCATTGCCTCCGCAGGCAAGCTTGATGAGGAGGTAATATTCCAGCTCCTGTCTATTAATGTTTGGTTCCTAACACGTTTTCTCCGAAGACGAAGCAACGGCTTATCCGTGCTAAGAGGGCATCTGAAAACAACTACGAGACCATCGGCCTCTTCGCTGCCGGCGTGGCTGCCGCGAACCAGGCTGGTGCCCCTACCTGTGTCGTCAATGCCTTGAGCTGGGGATACGTTGGATTCCGTGTCATCTACAACTTCGTCTACATCAACCTGGGCGGGATCCGCAAGACACATTGGCTGCGCAGCGCCGTGTGGAGTCTGTGCATGTGGTCCTCTGTTGGACTTTTCGTCGCGGCGGGAATTTATTCAACCAAGGGTGATTATCAGTACGAACTGGAGTTTGAGAACATTTAACGGGTTGCAACGTCATCCGAGAGGAGCCTGAAAAGTTGAAACAAGGAGCCTAAAATACGTATTACGCCTCATGTCTGCCGTTATTGTCATATTTGATGCCTTGAACTGGCAGCAAAGCTTTCGCTTCTAGACTGTGAAGAGTGATTAACACATGCTTCTGTTGTGCTATAGATGAATACATGATGCTGTCTATTGTACCAAGTAGAAGATCAATATTGCCTCCTAGTAGCCACTATAACCAATTTATCGCTTTCCATGGTATTAGGCGTTGTTACATGGTCGAAAATGAATACCTGAAAGACTGTCAGCGGCGTTACTTGAACGAGGCCCATCCTTGGCACTGGTTCACTTACAAAAGCATCCCAGTGATGAGAATCATGTAATCAAACTCAGACCCTTGATTCATGTTGATCTGAACAGTGGCGCAGTGGTCAATCCCTCCTTGCATTCGAAATATCGCATAAATGGTATCACTATCCCCTGGCTCCACGAGAATCCAGCTTTGTCCCTTCCCCGGCTCTTTGCCGTCAATGGCATGCTTCTTGCTTCGCTTCCACTGCAGATCCTGGTGTTTGCCAGATCCCAGCGGCATGGCCCATTCGTAATCTCTGCTACCGAAACTCTTGCTTTTCATCGTTTCCCACTGAACCGTCTCGGGCGCATTCTTGACATTGCCCAGGCCTATTTTGCTTGACCGAAACATGCCCGGTAGGTAGGCACATGCCACGGGTGATGCATCTTGGGCGTCAGGGTCTGAGCCAATAAACAGCGTGAAATCGGGGTGATGACGCTTCAAGTGGGCAGTCTTGATGGAAAACGCAGGTTCGCCAGCTTCTGCCCTCGTGGTTTTGACGCTTTCCACTGCCAAATAGCTGAACCCGGACCTGAACGCTTTCGTCGCAAGCCGGAATATTCTCTTATTAGCTGTTGGGTCTGTAGTTGCCATGGCGCGGATGGTTGAGTTGACTATAGGAGCGAGTGCGCGTCTCTATGGAATCTTTATAGGTGTTGATGAGAGTCTATGACAGAATATCGATTTCGATGAGGAAGACATTCCTTAAATACTAGCAGACTTATCAGGCTAGCACATCCAGATGACATTGTGAAAATGAGGCTTGCCAAGACGCGTAGCGGGAGATCTTACGGTTCCGTCTGGAAGATGGGAAACCCGGGGAATACGAGCGAGCAACATCAATCAACTGCGGGGACAGGGGCATGGCTAGTCCGTCTTTGTTAACATTCGCTTTCTTTTGAGTTAGGCGGTTGGCTAACTGGAGATCAACTGCCAATCTGTGTTTAGGCACCGATACTTGACATTGTAGCAAGAAATGAATCTCACGTCTTGTGATCGGTTCTGGAGAATGGTAGAGACAAGGCGGGATTTGTCGATCCTACGTTTGTTCATGGGGTGTGGAAGTCATAGAAGAATATACTTTCATCCTGTATTTGTGTAATGTGTGCATTTGTCTATAAATATGTATCGAACTTGTCTTATTATTGAACTGATATACACATTGTACAACTAATATACACATTGTACATCAACTACACGATCTTGAGGTTGTTGTAACCGTTTTCACAACCATGATTCCATCATCATTTCTTTCCAGCACTCTGCGCGGCTGGTCTTGGCGAGAACTCCGGTCCTTAGATACCAAGGTCTGAACGTCGCCTTGCGATCTATCCCCCAACTCCATCTCGTACCCAAGCTCAACTTGGCTTTCGTTCCTTCTGTGACGACTCTTGGTCTTAAAGTACCCTTTCTGGCTTTCACCGCCCCTGGTCGTCCGTAATGCGCCCTTTGAGCCTGACGTCTTATCTTTGTTGTACCCACTCGATACGGTCGTCCCGATCCACGGGAAGAAGTGCTTCAGAAGAACCCACATCGCAGGCAAGCACGCTACAATGATGGTAACGGAGAGTTCAATTCCTGTCCAGTTGAGGACCTCGGGATATTCCCACGTTGGATTGGCGGATCGACCGAATAATGAAATATAGCGCAGTCTTATGCAAGAAGTGATTGTGACGAAGATTCCCAGACTGAACATGACGATGATGCCCCATTTTGATTTTTTCTCCATCTTCAGCCGGAATACAGATGGGAGTGGTAGAAGGAGTACCACACAGTCCTGGAAGATGTTGAGACCCGCAGCAACGAAGGTGATTGTGTGTATATCCATGCACCGGTCTCTATAGTAGGCAAACCGCCAGCCATGCCATACCCAGTGGATCGGCTTGCATTGGAATATCTGTACGAAGATGAGAACGACGGATGGTACCATAATGATAGCCATGGAAATGTATGTCGCTATTAAGAATTTGTGACAGGGAAAGATGCGGAGGTAGAAGAACAAGACGGAAACCTTGCATAAAGCAAGACCGAGGATATAGAAACTCTCGCAAATGTAGAAGTACTATCGGCCGTTAGTGACAAACGTCCTCCATCCCTCAAAACCCTCTTGTACTAACCTTCAGAGCAGTAGTAATCGTCTCATACTCCAAATTCCACATGTCGATCCCGAAGGCCAGATATCCAGCTACAGTCCAGTCAGAATAGAGTATTCCTCCTTTCAATCGATGAATTTAACTCACTATACTTTCCGAGGACCAAGAACACGGAGTAAAGGAGCTGGAACTTGTGTTAACCAATTTGTTTAGAATGCTGATCTCAAGATTCCAAAGTTTACTCACTCCAATCCCCAACATGACCTAGTCATCAAGCTCCCACCGTCCCAAAGTAAGCCATCTTGAGTATAATCGGATCCAGGGACAAAACCACGACGGGCCCTCGACCATCATGGGTATAAACAATACATATTTGCGTGTTCGGTACGGCCGCTCGCAAACCCTCGTTTCGGCCTTGCTGACGTCTTTTGGCGTTTTATTTTCAATCAGTTTCTATCGTGTCCAGTGGCCATGGCAACCATTTGAGAAAACGTACTCAGAGCCTCCTGGGCAGGGCAATTAGACGTGATACAGTTTTGCGCAGCATCGTGGAAGGTTGGGTCGGTGCAGATGCAAGTCGCGTTGAATATATCGCACGGGGTATCGTTGATAACTGAAGTGAAGCAATTTGTCTAGATTCGACGGCGATTAGCACAGTGGCCACCTTGCTCTCCGTACGTAAGAAATCAAACGGGCAACCTACACCACAAGCGGGAAGATTCTTTAATTCGCTTAGGATACTCGTCGTTCCTATCCCCAGCACCCCAGTTGGCAGGGCTAGAACCAGCACTAACAAGAGCTGGAAACGCAGCATCTTGATATGGCGGCCAATGCCGCAACAGAGAGCGCGTTATGTTGCTGTGCAATGGTAGCAATGCCGCGAGGAAAATTAACCGAGCACAAGCGAGGAAAGGAGTAATTAAGAGAACGTGAATCAAATCTACTAGCAATGGGTAGCAGGAGAGGGTAGCATTGCAGCAACCAAAACAGGGGTGGATAACGTGTCTGCAACCCGGTTGGCGATTTAGCGAGCCGTCTATCCTGGGCGAAACATCCGCACCTAGCCTCGATTTGGTTTGGAAGGATGCCTGCTAGGGGGACGATGCAAAGATATTTCTTGGCTGTGTCATTATCTTGTCCCCCACTCTCACTCAGCGAGAAGAGCGGGGAATGAGACCATAAAATATTACAGCCTGGGCTCGCCTTCGTGTAAGCACGAGCGTTCTCATCTTTCACTGTGTTTTTAAGGGCTCAGAAGCATTATTATTGAAGCTGTCTGTCTTCTACTAAACCCCGATTCCTTCCGCCTCCTTTCCTCTCTTCGTGATTTGTTCTTCATGAGAAAATTATCTTATAACGTCCTGGCTTTGGGTACGAGCAACACTCACCACTCCAGCCCGACCTCATAATGGGACGCACAGTCGTAGATGGACGAGGCAGGCCAGGTACAGGAAGAGGAATATGAGGACCATGCCGTAGACTGGAATGCTGGGGAACATGAGCACTCTGCCATCCTCCCTCGTACGGGCTATGAACAAGCACTCTGACAGGACGGGAATGGAGAGGAACATAATCAATATTAGATGTAAAAGAATAGGCTCTACTAACCCAAGGCTGTAGTCATGCGGAAGGAAATCTCTCTCAACTTTCATACCGATGACTTACTTGCCGTCGGGACGAGGGGCTCGTGTGGTTACTATTTAATCTACCCTCTTTCACAGACTTAAAGAATATATCGGTCAAGGCCTCTGCCGTTCGCACTTATCTTAGCATTCTCCTTTTTAAGCCAATAACGTAAGACCAAAGAGGCACTGGCACAAAGAACCAAAGCGCATGTAAGCACGATGCAGCCTGTTCGATATAATCTAGGATGTTTATAGGTCAGTATTAAGATATCAACCATATTCTAGTGCTGGCCTCGAATCGGAATCTTGGATCATCAGGAGAAGAACTTACGGCGCATCTGAGGATGGATATAGATAAGCACTGCTTATATTGGTCATATTACTAATGGCAGTTGCGAGAGCGATTGTTACCGCTCGCTTGGCCTTTGGTCGGGGAATGGTAGATGAAACCCAGGAAAGGACCAGTTGGAAGACTGAGAAGGAGCCGACGGCCTGCAAGAACATAGCCTGCATCTGATGAGAGATGTCCTAGTGCGTTTGTCTATATAGCAAGAGTACTTACGAAATAGCGGGCACCTATGTTGTGAGTCGACATGGAGAGAATCTGACCGACAATAGATATGCAACACCCTGTAACAATATGAAAGCACCGCTCATTTGTCTTTCCACTATGCCAAGAGTTGGTGATAGAATAGACGCAAGCGAGAAAGTAAGGGGGCGCAGTGAGAAGAAGCGTCTCCACACGTGGAAACCCGAGGGTCTGAACAATCGATGGGAAGAAGTCTGCAGTGCTTTGAGATTAGAACACAGTCATAGATACATCTACCAGTCACCAGATCAACGGCAGAACCTACATGTAAAGCTCATACTCATCACTGCTCCCGTCTGAATCAGTACAAGGATCCAAGACTTAGGGTCCGAGATGGACTGCTTGAATCCGACGAAAACTGATTCCTCTACTTCGTCTGCTTCACCTTCGTAATCGCGAGCAAGACGATATTGTGCGAGAGCTGACTCTTCGGCGCTTAGCCACCTTGTGTTATTCGGGTAATTGGGAAGGAGAAAGAAGGCAGGAATGCCGATGACGACGGTAAGAGCACCCTCGAGGATGAAGATCCATCTCTATTTCAGATATCAGTAAATGGATAGACTCGTCAAAAAGTAGAGCGTACCCAAGCGGCATATCCTCCCAGTCCGTCCATACCAGACAAAATGCCGGCTGCCATCAGACCTCCAAATGCGGAGGCAAGAGTATATCCAAGGTAGAAGACTGCAATCCTGGATGGGAGCTCGCGCTTTGTATACCAAGAGGATAAAAGGAAAATGCAGCCTGGGAAGTAAGGGGCCTCGGTCACTCCCACGAGGAATCGAAGCGCTGCAAGACCACCGAAGTTCTGGGTAAAACCGGTAGCACCCGAAACCTATATATACGAACACGAAGAATCAGCTCTGAGCCATATTGCTAGGCATTATTGGTATTGGAACGAGTGACCGAGACGACAACACGTAACAAGACTTACAACACCCCAAATCATGACAACAGTGGGTAGATATATTCTTGGCTTGATGATGGAAAGAAGCATATTCGAGGGAACCATCATAGAGATATAGCCAGCTGAAGATTGGTGCCTTGTTAGCTTGCAGATCGACGTAAGATAGGAGTTATCAGAACAACTTGCCCCAGACCAACATCACAGCAATTTGGTATTGCAGGTCCGTGAGGTGCAGCGATTCTTCGAGCCCACCAAGACGAGCATTGGCGATTGCGTTACGATCGAGAATATTGAGCAGGAACAGAATGATGAGAATGGGAAGGCAGCGCGTGTCAAGCTTACGCACGAGAGCTTTCTCCATAGCCGCCAAGTTTTCAGGGCTGTGATGTTGGAGAACCTCTGGCAACATCTCGTTGTTATTGTTGTTGTCCAGTGCCTTCTGCTCATAGGCCAAATCCTCAATGTTCTTCACATCAGTCTGATCGCCATTTCCCTTATGCGTCGACATTCTAGCGATGCTCGGGGGGAGTATTCGGAGGGATGAACTTCAAGCACTAGAAGAGACACAAGATACCGTCGAGGTAGATGTTGTAGCTGGCACGGTAATCTTGCAAATGTTGGGCTTCCTTTGATGGAGGTTTCAAAACAGATGCTGCTTGGGTTGAGTTCTTAACCCCAGGTCTGTCGATGAATTTAAACATGTCTTCAGATACAGCAAAGTCTGGGGAATGCGGGGCAGACATTTCTCGTCAGTCAATCGGCAACCCGCCGTACCCACTCCAGAGCTCGAAGCTGGGGAACCGGCGCATTCGGCGAAAATAATGGGCCCTCGGACGTTGCCTGGAGTCGTCGTTTAAGATTATCCGAGTCATGCGCCGACTGGGCAGACGAGTCCAGCAGCAACGTAGACTCGAGGAACAATGTGGGGAGAGAGCCATCTGACTATTCTAGGTGGCGAACTGCCGACGGCTGCATCGCCGAGTGCCAACAATAAGAGCCTCTGGAGTGGGCGTTGTAACATTTCACTCCACAACTAACCATGAGCATTTCCACCATTCGGGCCTCGGTCTGTCTGGTTCTTGGATATATTTCATGCATAGACCGGCGTTCTTCGCCGACAAGTGGGTTAGATGGTGGTTGGAGCTCCTACAAGGGCGTTGAATAAGTTTAAAGCCTATACGCTGATAGTATTGAGCTGTTGCTGTCTGAGAAACACTGTGAGCCGGCTTCAACAATCCATTTGCGTGTTGACTATACCACTTGCTCTTCTCCTGCTACTTCAAATTCTTTGTTTTTGACATACTCTGTACTCTACCACCACATTATAATTCAAGATGGGCAGCACAAGCAGAAACGGCTGGAAAGGCCGCCTGCACAAAGGAAAGCCACTCCAAGAAAGGCGCCCCCTCCATACGATCCTCAACACGCGGGACTTCGAAGATGCTGCTTCGGAAATTCTGTCCGAAAAAGCGTGGGCGTTCTTCTCCTCCGCCGCCACGGACTGTTATACCTACGAGGCCAATCGCGACTTCTTCCGTCGTATATGGCTACGGCCTCGGGTCTTGAGAGACATCACAAACCTAGACATAAAAACCAAGATTCTGGGCAATGATGTGTCCTTCCCACTATTTGTCAGCCCGGCTGCGATGGCTAAGCTTGCTCACCCTGACGGCGAACTTGCTATTGCTCGCGCAACTACGAAAGCTGATATTGCACACACCGTATGTCGGAACGTCCCCTCCTTCAGCCACTTTCTCTGGGCAACCAGCTTTACCACTCTTTTTCGACTTGAAAGACATGACATAAAACTTTGGCTAATTCTAATATCACAGATCTCCACCAATGCCTCGTACCCCCTCGCCGAGATCACGGCTATTAAGAAAGGTCACCCATTCTTCCTGCAACTCTACGTTAATAAAAACCGCTCCGCTTCCGAGTCTATATTGAAGAATGCTGAAGAAAATGGGTGTGTTGGAGTCTTCCTGACCGTCGACCAATCCCACCCCGGTAAACGCGAGTACGATGAACGCGTAAAATTTGAGGACGAGAGCCTCATGTCTGCTATCCCTACAGGAGCCGCGCCCAAGAATGATATTCATGGTAGCGGTATCGGCCGCACCATGGCCGACTTCATTGATTGTAGCCTCAATTGGAATGACATAGCGTGGCTGAGATCTGTCACGAAAATGCCAATCATCATCAAGGGCGTGCAAACGGCCGAGGACGCGATGCTTGCCGCCGAGCACGGCGTGGATGGTTTATTGATCGGCAACCACGGAGGCAGGAGTCTGGACACAGCCACCCCAGCCATCATGATTCTCCTTGAATTAAGAAAGCGGTGTCCCCAGATCTTTGATCGAGTGGAAATCTTCGTGGACGGCGGTATTCGTCGTGGGACAGATATATTCAAAGCTTTGTGCCTTGGCGCGAAGGCCGTTGGTATGGGGAGGCATTTCATGTATGCCGCATGCTACGGCGAAGAGGGTGTTTCTCGCCTTATTGACAGTAAGTAAAAGCCACCCTTGAAGCAGGGGCATTAACACCAGCTAAACCTTTACAGTCATGAAGGACGAGTTTGAAACGACGATGAAGCTTATGGGTTGTACGAAGTTGTCGCAACTCCATCCTGGCTTGCTTAATTTGTATGAGGTCGACCACTGGTTCTCCCAGTCTCGTGATTCTGAGAGACTAGATTCTTCTCATGCCAATATAATCTCAAAACTTTGAGAGATTCTTAAGACATAGTAGATTCTCCACTTCATCTTCTACTCGATAGGGAGGTTCTTAATAAACCATCCATATAAGCATCATATGTAACGCATCCCTTGATTCTGTACAATATGTGCCCTCAAATCATGCTAGCAGTATCCGATTCCTGTGTCAACGACGCCAGGAACGTCTCCCCACCCCCGAACTCCAACAAAGCAGCCAAACTATCCACGTCCATATTATATATCAACTCGTTTGCTCTGACTCCGACCTGCTGCGCTGCAAAATCAACTGCAATGCTATCGTAGGATGCATCCCCGTGGTAATTGACATCCTGAGATTCCAGGTCCTGGTGATGGCCGAAGCTGGCCTCTTTTTCAACCCGCTGTAAAAGTCGTCGAATGCCAGCAACAATATGTTTTGCCACATGCTTCTCACTCAGATCACTCCCCACCTCGGCAAGAAGGTCCGCGGAACGTCCGACGAGTGCAAAAACCTCTCTGACGTTGAAGCCCAAGCTCAAAGTGGAAGAAACAATGTCGTCCCCACGGTGCCACATAGAAGCCATCTTCAACAGGAAGGTGGCGCAGAATGCTACCATTGTGTGCGTAAACAGAGGCACTCCACGAAGGGCTTTCCTTATATCAGCCTCAGCAGAAACATGGACCAGAGTGTTCATTGCGGCCGATATAGTGGCCATAGCAGCTTCTCGCCGGTTCGAGCCCAGAGTCTGATAGCTCGGCCAACGCAAACCTCTGAAGGCGAGTGAATTCAGATGGAATCGGGCGAAGTGATAATATAACACGAGCGATTGCAAGGGATATGAACCAATACGATCGGATTGTTCTAGCCTGGGCTCCCATTTAGACCGCCACTGGTCGATGGCGATATTGACAGAGCGCAGGCGACCCAAGCGCGCTTCGTCTATCATGGCGTTCGGATCACTACCGAACTCAGAAGATGCGAGGTGGATGATTCTGTACAGTGATACATGCGCTATGAGGCGCGTGTCGCCAGGCAGTGCATAGGGATGTGGTCCATCAAGAAACAGGTCAGCGCCCTTGACCGCATCATCGTCTTGCATCGCTGAAGGTCTTCCAAACGCAATGCTGACTTGATGGTTGCAAATGTACAAGGCGTACCACATCCTCACACGCTCGGCGTGGCGAAGGTCACCATTGCGCACCTTGTAGAAGGACTGGTGTATGTTCATCTCGGCAGCTATCCTAGCAGCCTGCCCTGACAGCCTCCAGCTTAGATTCGGGAGGTGGAACGCGCCCAGACACAGGCCCCTCACGTCATGCATATTATGATGTCTTATAATGCTAGAGTTGCTAATTAGAGCAATGAAAGCGTTGTAGCATCTTTGTAGCGTCTCTCCTTGCCCTGGTGTATGTAGCACAGCGACGGTCAAGATAGACGTGGAGAGTAGTACTGAAGCCTCGCGCATCGACTCGAGTGTTGAGTAGGGAAAGATGACACCGCCCCAGAGCAACTGATTTTGCAAGTTCATATATTTGTGGAAGAGTTGGCGCGCCTGTGCCTCAGAAAGAATGCCTTGTGAAATAAGATCATCCGAAGGGCCGGTGTCCGTGTATGTAGTTGGGGCACTCCGATCGGTGCTGGACACTTTGGCCAGATCATAGAGGTTGTTCATAGGTGCTGGTACCAGACTAGATTCGTCATCATCTCGGTCTGAAGAGCGACGGCTTGCACCGGGATTGGTTGGACCAACATCAGACTCAGCAGTATGCATGGAATCTGGAACAACCACGGTAGATGGTAAACCTAACGCAGCCGTATTCTGAGCCTGCGGCGGAAGTCTTGCTAGTTCAAGTCGCCTGTTTTCCTGAAGGAGCATGGATACCGTATTCTCAAGCTGGCGGACGCGTTCTGTGATTTGAGATTTCCATCTAATAGTGTACGTTCTTGTCAGCCGAGGTCATCTCTTATTTAACTCGGAAGCTTTGCGAGGGTACACGTACTCCGTATCGTCCTGAACCAGTCTGCCTGTGTCAGAAAAGATACAGTCGATACCTACGCGCAAGCATCTTACGCAGGCTGTCTCTCCTCGCCTCACTTCGCATTTAATCTTATGTTTCTTACAACTCAGGCCTGTTGTCGTTTAGTCGATCAACTGTGCCAGGCTACCGCTACCGTATGAGGCAGCACGCTATTAGTAGCTAGTGTGGTAATACTCACAAGGCCGAACTCTTGGTGTTCGTGAGTTTCCTTTTCGTGAACTTCGATCTGATGTAGCATGCCAACGGTTTGAAAGATCATTTTGAGAATTGACCTGCCATTCCACTTCGGATGGTGATATATGCAGCACCTCGTCCTCTTGTCCCTGACTCCGCAGGCTGTACGAGTGTGTATCAGCTTGGAAGGAGTCCTCGGCCATTTGTGCGATGTATAGTTGGGTCAGGAGCTTTCGCGTAGCTAAAGGCCTCTTGATGCGGAGAGTCTGAGGCAAAAAGAACGGTCGCTCCTGTATTCCGCTGATTCACTCTAAGCAAAGATGAAATGATTTATTCACAATACAGTGAAACGAAGCTGGGACGAAGATGAGGATTCCTTGGTGTACCGATGAACTATGGCAATCTCGGAGGTTTCGGCGAGGAGGTAATGCTACCCTAAGCAATCGGTTCAATACTCCACACTCCGCGACTTTCACTCTATTATTCGTATGGTAGGGCTCAATACCAGATATATCATCAAAAAGTACAAGGATACAGTGCCGGAAATCGATTCCTAAAGCATTGGATAGCAACTACATCACCCAGATCAACTATACTTCCAAAGATACGTTAATTATAAACATGTAGGTCCTCATCGTTAGTGCTGCCGGCTTCATTGGCCAATAATCATCCAAGAACTACTCAAAGACACGACCAAAGAGCTTATTCTTACTGATATCCTTGAGCCGATCGAGCTTGGCCCAAGCTAACGTTGATGCAGCACGGATACTGTTGGAAAGATTAGCCAAGCGCTGGCCTGGAGTTCGTGTCAATAGTTTTCGAGTGAGGCTGTTTACGGAAGTCTAGTGCCAATGAAGAACGTGACACAGGGAGACGGATATGCCTTGCTTAGAGATCTCCTACGGATGCTGGAAGGTTATCTGCGGAAACTACATCGACGACTTTACTCGAAGAGGTCTGATTAATGGCTTCTCCCTGCGCCTACCCAATTGACCACTTGACCAAAAGGTTTAACCCGCTATAGGTCTTCTATTATTACAAATGATGATCGGTTCTAATATACCCCCCGAGGTTTGGCATATCATAAGGCATCTCTGGACTTTTAGGCTCTTCTGGAAGGTAAAACTACAGCATTATCACTACTATATCCAATCAAGCGACTCTTACCTAGAAAAATAAATAAGGTAGGAATAATACGTTTAATTTTAAGTAGTAACTTCTACAGAATTTACTTCCTTCTTTCTTACTTTATAAAGCAATTCTACGCAGAGGTGGTTGACTAGCTGGACATAGTGCTTCGATAGCAAAACCCTATATGATGTATTCGTTTGTTCATTGTATACCTGCTTCGGCTGACACCGTCAACCATCTCCACTACTCGACTGCATCTTCATATCGTCTTTTACTTCAGTTTGTTGACTAAGAATAGCCCTTATAAAATACCAAACCACAAATTGTGCCTCTCCCTATTCAGTGGATCAATGGAAGGTTGAATCAGTTGTGGTGGTGGGCTTGATCAGTTGGTCAGAATTGTCGCTGTATCTGCACAAGTCAGTGATTGCTTGCCACCTCAATCCGCCGAAACACACTTCATTGCTTATAATCTCGTATTAGCGCGTTGATTTGTGTATGCTGTAAACTGTTGACTGGCCGGCTTAAGGACAATGTGGTGGCTGGATGCGCTTACCCCTGCATCGAGAGGCACAACCAATCATAGTGGGATTCTGGGCGCGTCTCGATGTGACTATGTAGGACGGAGTACCGAGCTGTGTTTCCAATTGTGCAAAAGTCAGCCCAACCACGAGCTATACGCGTCACGCGTTCATTGGGCAGTTGGAAGTGTGGGTGGGTGTTTTGAAGCCTTACCTGCCCAACATTCCAAAATCTGGAGTACCAAAATCCGGAGGCCAAAATCTGAGGAGTTCGAATTGAGTATATAAGAACCGGGTTATGGGTGCTACAATTTGAGGGCTCGGCTGAATCAGAGACATCTTGAAGATACTCACCACAAATCACTGCTTCGTTTCAACATACCTGACAAACCCAGTTTTTTGGCTATGGCTTCCTCTTCCAAAGACATTCCACATGAAGCGTGGTCACGGCACAAAGATCGCATTCTAAAGCTTCGTTTCGACGAACGCCTTCCACTTGACGCCGCCAAATCAAAATCTAGAAATATCGTTCAGGTCATGAAAGACGACCATGGATTTGAAGCGACGTAAGTAACCACAGTGCCAAGGCTATCTCGGCCTGCCTTTTCCATCACGGTTGAATCTCCCAAGGCCTAGACCCAGTGGAACCCGAGCTGCTAACAGTGTAGGTTTGGTAGGATGCTAACCGATCTTCAGCGCGGCGCAGTATGAAACACAGCTCAAAAAATGGAAAGCAGCCAAGAACATCAAGAGGAAAGACTGGGAAATGATTCTTCCCATCTACGAAGATCTCGACAACCGCGGCCTCAAGCCCCGTGTAAGGCTTGGTGATCAGATTCTTGAAGAGAAAAAGGTCAAGAAAGCACGCTGCCGCTATCTTACATCAGACCGGGCGGAGATTGATGGGAGAGATGGTGAGTGGGAGCTAAGTAGTTTCTCGCGGTATCATACTGACACTATTTTTCTTAGTCCTATCAGAATTCTCTGGAGAGACGCGTCTCTGGCACATAGAATACTGCCATGAGGATGGCACATACGCCGAACACTTTGGCGGACATTTAGGGGAGAATAATAGGCAGACCTCACCCCAGATGGCTCTATCTCTAAGCGAAACGAACGCCTTTCCATCCCCAATCCAAGATCGATCCGCGCAAGAGAGTTTCACCCCGGAATTAGGCCAATATCAAGAGAGCACCGCGAACTGTGAATTTGAGAAGTTCGGTCTGAGTCCTGACCACGTCTACGCTCTATGGGCAAGCTTGAACGGAAACTCCATGCCGGACCCAGGTGGTGTAAACCCGGAATCTTTGTTCTTCTCTTTTAATTTTTGGGATCCGCCCTACCCACGGATGTACGACATTTACAACTGTGTACCGCTTCCAGCCCCGTCATTATATAAGCCCTATTTGGATCTTTCAAAAGACCAAATCAATTCTGCGCTTGGTGGTATTCTGAAAGATCCTGCTTTTAGGATGACCGCGGATACACACTCTGTCTCCGCTCAGCATATCATAGACAGCCTGCAATCCTTGCTTTACGATTATAGGTGTGGCCAGGAAATGTCGAGGGAGCTCGGCGTAGTAGCCCACCAGGATATTCCAACACCCGAAATATTCAAGCGTGTCATCTTTTCGATTGCCAACAACTTTGCTGGACTCACAGCTATCCCGCGGGCTATCGTTTTGGGCATACTGAAGAGCTTGTTCTCTAAGGCGAAACTGGACCCCGTGGCCTGTCTCAAATCGCAGAGTATAAAAATCTCAAAACCCCTAGCTGACAATCTCTTTCGTGCTGCTGTTGAAGCTGGCGACGAGGAATTAGTCGGCATCATCCTCGACACCACATCCCGCCAAGACAACGTGGTTAACATCAATGAGATAGTCTGCGAAGTGGGCCGCATGCGATATTCGGCACTGTCTTTGGCGGCGTATTTGCATCGCCCGGCCATGGTGCGGAAGTTGCTCCGGCATGGTGCCAAAATTGGCGGAGATAGTTGTGGTTGCCGAAATAAACATTTTCAGGACTGCCCAGACTATTGGACCCGCGATTGCCCGCTGACTGTAATATTCGACCAGTACAGACAGCCGAAGTATCAAGAGGCCTACATGAAGCAGCCTCATCTCGCTTGTAATGAGAGCGAGGCAACTGAGATTGTGAAACTGATACTACATCGTAAGCCTGCAATGGTGGCACGGTTGCTCAAGCATCCTTGGTTCTTTGAGATAACTAGTGATCGGCTACTGGAACTGTTAGTTCAAGCCGTGCCTCCAGGCTGTCATGATGAAATCCTTGAGTTGCTGAGCGAACCAGAGGAAACTTCCACCACAACGTGCCGGGGACTGCAACCCTTCGTGGGGAGATTGGAGCCACAGAGGGCAAAGTATATCGTCCGTACTATGCTCTCAAAATGGCAGAGGATGGGGCGCAAACCTAATAAGATGAACATAGCATTCAACTATGTCACCAACCGGGCGATCTTAAGCAAACAATCTGACGTAGCGGATTATTTTCTGACTATAACCCAACCAGACCAAGGTAATCTTGCTGCTGCTATTCGCGGTAGGCGAACACAGCTTGTGGACTCGCTCTTGGAACAGCATGTCTCGTTGATTTACGGGGATCCTCCATGTTGCGATGATGATATGTCTCATCCCTACATTTCAAATGAGTGCTCGAAACCGACGACACCCCTGGCTGAGGCAATACGATTACAAGACCCCTATCTCATAACGCGCCTTGAGGAATATGGGGCACTGAAGGGAATAGAAAACGGGGTCCCAGAGTATTTCACTGCTGCACTCTTCGCAACAGTGGAAGTAGGAGATTGCCTTTATCTGAGACAGCTTCTGGCTACGAAGCCTTCCACCCGCTGGATCCAGGGGTGGAATTCTGCTATTGTTGACGCGATTAAGTTGTCCCACTTCGAAATAGCTATTGCTTTGATCAGCTACGATGTCGCGAGTTGGCTCGAAAAAGAGTCAGGTGTGGTGGAAGCGGCGGTGAACAGCGGGAATACCGAGCTTGTGCAAACAATACTTGACCTCACTGATGATTTCAATGTTCACAAGAAAGTCGTCATGGCATCTGTGCAACAGGGCGATACGAACGCTGTTGAGGCATTGCTTGAGCTGGATAGCCAATCATTGAGAGATGCACTTGTTATAGCAGTCAAGAGTGGCAATGTCGAGCTGGCAGCCATGCTCCTGAAGCGAGGCGCGTGCCCGACAGGTCTTTTTGAGGCAATTCAAGTGGGTGATTTGAATCTAGTGAAGCTCCTGCTGAGACACGGCGCCGATCCTGCGGATGAATTCGCCTTTTCAGTCGCTATTCATACAGGCAATACTCAGCTAATGAATATTCTTCTGGAAGCCTTTGCCGCAAGGTATCCAGACGGAAATCAGGATTTCATACAAATATTCATTTTCAGAGCAATCAAAGATCGCAGTTTCGTTGATCTGGATTTATTGCTGAAATTAACTTCGCATCCGAATCGATGGGTTGACTCTTCGAAAAGGTGCATTTTTGTCGAGGCGATTGCAATGTGCGGGGAAAATGAAGTCGAGGGCAACGAAATCGTACGCCGTTTCATCAATGCCGGCGTAAGCTTAGAATTCCAAGACAAATATGGGATGACTGCATTCCTCCAGGCTGTAAAGAACAACAACTTGCAGCTCGTTGAGTTTCTCCTACAGAACGGTGCGAATATCAACCGTCCAGCGCGATGGGGTGTAAAACGGACACCTCTACAGCAGGCTTGTGAGATGGGCAATTTCGAGATGGTCAGGTTTCTAGTGACTCGAGGCGCAGTGATCAATGCTCCTCCGGCCAAGGATGGAGGCGCAACCGCCTTACAACTTGCTGCAATTAGCGGCAATTTGCAAATTGTCGAATTTCTTCTATACAATGGAGCTAAAATCCACGCAGAGCGAGCTCTCAAGAATGGCAGAACCGCTCTTGAAGGGGCAGCAGAGCACGGTAGGGTCAGTGTGCTAGATATTTTACTCCAACTAGGGGCACAGGAGTATAGCAGAGATGATATTTCCAAGGCCAAGGTATATGCAGAGAAGGAAAAGCAACGTGGCTGTAAGGAGAGGCTCGAGCAAGCTCTCTTCGGGGCAAGAATCCTGACTGGGACACCTCTGAATTGATTTCGTTGACATTCCCTTACTGTGATATGTACTACTCTACTTACCAATAAATTTACTATCGAAACTGAAAGTATTCATCGGGTTAAGATGCCAAGCGTCTGGCATGTTCTATTGTTGTTTTCTACTTTACACTTGAATTATCACCAGGATAGAAGTTGAACTATTATGGGTCAATGCCCGATCTCATAGTTGATTTGGTGGAATTAGTATGTCTATCAACTAATATTACTGTCGTACTTTCAAGAAATTCGTAAACACATGACTCATGGTTTAAGGACCTTCTGGCTCTCGGAATTCGATCGACCAAAGCCGTATTACACCTTGGCTTCTAAAGAAAAGATAACTGGTGAGTATTCAGAAGCCGACAAGACTGAACGCCGTTGTGATGACCAGGATAGTGCAAAGTAGGCGTCTCGATAGCTGACTTTTGCTCGGTCCCCCTCCACCCGGCGCCGTCGTGTGTGTTTCAATTGCAATCGAGTTATACGTGAGTGGGTAGTCGATCAGTGGTGCCAGACTGGTCCCTGTTGCGGTGAAGCCTGCTTTTCGTCGCCATGTTCCATTCGTCGAGGTCTATAAATCTCGTCAATTTCAGATACTCCATCAGATTCCAAGACCGTTAACTTACCCCAACATCGCCGAGGAAGGTTTCGCAATGGTCGTATCCCCAGAGACGTCTCAGGTCCACCGGCTTGGTGGAGCATATGGCCCCTCCATTGATGGAGCAGAGGGACTCGACCACTTGCACATGAGACTGGCAGTAGCAGAGCTCCCGAGAGGTGGATACTTCGTACTGCGAGTTACAATCGCTGACGTATCTTGAATATCGGACGCAAGCTGTGGAAAGGTAGGCGCATGTGTTGGTGTTGGCTTTGAAGGTGACTTTTATGGTGGACGGCGTTGTTACGGATAGAGATGGGATCGCTGAACTGCAGAAGCTGGCCCATTGATCGCGGTATCGATTGAATTCGGGATCGAAGAGATAGTCTTGAATGCATAACCGGTGTTCGTTCTGACATCTGTGTGACGAGACATGTTAGTCGGCACTGCCTCCAGCAAACGGAGAGGTTGGGATAGTTGGCCTACTCAACGATATGAGACAGAAGGTCTTGTTGGCAGAAACAACCTGTAAACGAGGTTTGATTGACAAGCATACTCTGTGCTGGAATATCATCGCCGTTCAAACCACCCCGACTCTTGCAATCGGCCACCATAGATTTTAGAGACGAGCATCCTGTTGGTTCGGCTGAAAATTCGTCAACACAGTTCGATGGTTGAGCCCAATCTCGAGCCTGTAGCCCTTCGATTTGGATTATTGGTACGGGAGCTGGTGTAATTTCAGGTAGGTCTGCGAAGTCGCGCAGTATAGGCGACGGGTTGATGGCCATGGCCACTGGGAAAGCTATCTAGAACGAAGCCAATGACTCCATCCATTGGATACTTCATGAATAGAATATGAACCTACAAGGTCGCTCACCCCACACGCGACGTGACTGAGAAATCTTTCGAGCTTCGAGTGGCGGAGCACCCCTTGTTTATCTCACATGCAATTGCAAAGCTTGGTCAAATGAAGGTAGCATCGAGCAGGGAACACAGCCCTCCTAGGCTGAGAGGGGACTTCGTATTCAACCTTGGCATCGAGCGTAGTCAAGGGTCTAGCCTACATCCAGCCAACCCTGGTTCAGACGCCTAGACATCATTGGATGGGAGTATTGGATTTGATCCTTTGACAAAATATGGAGCATAATCAACCCTGAATCATGTTGTAGTGGAAACAGTTATTGGACAGCTTAAGAAGGGAGCGCACACTTGCCGTCTATGGAGAAACCCGGGGAAATTGCCATCACCTGTTAATTTGGCCATGGCCTACATGCTACTGGCAAAGCTTCCTTACCTAGCCTGTCACACTGATAAGCTGTTTCATGCGAATCTGTTTTCCTTCTGAGCGGAGTGCCCCTCCATCCAGCTTAGACCAAACAGCCAACAATTGCGATGCTCGCCGAGATCGAGTTCCTGGCCACAAGCAAAGAAGAGCTCGTGCCCAATCGCCGATCGATGCTCTACAATGGGTTTTGTAGAAGAGTTTGATCATGTCTCTACGGAACAAGGATCTGCCAAAGGGCCGGCTCCGACCATCAACTCGACGCAACCTCTCCAGCAGATTCCATCGTCGACCCCGCCCGAACCCTCGATCACGAAGTCGCAGAAACACATCTCGACAGTCTTCCGACGAAGACAATGGCTGGTGTGGAAAGTCGGCGGGCTTCTCATCCTACATGCGCTCTATCTCATACTGCTGGCCGTCGCGTTGGCCGTGTCGCTTCACAATAACGGGCTCGTGACAATTCGAAATTGGCAGTACGTCCATACAGGAAACTCGTCATTTTACGATCGAATCTCACTTACGTGGACCACGATACCGACATTGATATTTTCGCTTTTTCTGCTACATATGCGATGGTGCTATGAAGAGATTCAAAGACTGCTGCCGTACCTCGAGCTCTACAAGAGCCGCGACAAGGGCCATACAAGTGTTCTGGTGAATTACCGCTCCGAGTTTCCATTGATTGCGATTTTCAGCGCCTGGATGAGGTCGCATCGTATGGTATCATTCACAATAACGCTATCGCTCACTTTCTCCATCGTCGCCGTTCCCCTTTCGTCGCATTTATTCGAGACGAGACTGAGGCAGCAACCGACCGAGGCAGAGGTCTCGGCACAGACAGTCTGGAACTCGGGGAATATCAATGAGCGAACCGACTATAGCAGAGCGCTGCAGGTTGCCTCGGTTCTCGACGTGTATAAAAGCAATGGGGGTATATTTTCGCAGTGGGCCAGCAGCGACTATGCCTTTCCAACTTACAGCGCCGTCGGTACCCCATGGGGAGATAATAGCACGATCCGTATAACCGACATTCAAGGCCACGGTGGTCGTATAGAGGGTCTCAAGTTCCTGAATCAGTCGCAGTATCGGCTCTCACGTGGGAACGGGACCGACAACATTGCGGTTTCAGGCACCGATGACGGATGCCTTCTCTCCCTCAGCTTCGACCTGGCAGACAAAGAAGTAGACCTTTATTTTCAAGTTGGTGTTGCATCTTGTACTCGAAATGGCGACGACAATAAGGATTTAGGCCCGTCAGTTTCCCAGTCATACTCTAAACTGTTCTTCTTCCTGGGCTGGCCTGCTCCAGGTTCTAATGCTACTGCGATGAGCACCGAGGTGATCACGGGAGACACGATTCATATAGGTGTCAAGGGAGACATTGAGGTTGCTGTTCGTGAGAATGTTGTCTCAGTCAAGAGCTTCAAACCTTCAAATGAATCAGAGACCGTCGCAGGAACGACGACCGCATTTGACCGCGCTATTCTCCAGTCTGGCAACACGAAGAGCACTTTCAGCAATATCCAAACGACTTACTTTGGAGGTCTAATTCTAGATCGATTCGATGTGGCGAGGCGAAATGCGTCGAGTCCCTGGGTCAGTGTTGATGCAAGCACCGCAGAGGCTCTCCGAAAAGATATGATGGACGCTATCAGCAAGATGTACACGACCGTGTATGTTTCAGCAGCTGCTCTGAACGGTTTCGAACCGGTGGAATGGCCACTCGACTACCTGTCAACCGGGGTTTACATTGTCCATGATGTGGAACGTCTGTTTATCAACGAGGGTATAGCGGGCTTCTTAATTGGCGTTATAATAATATCCTCCCTCATCGCTGGACGGGCACTAAGCTATGCACTGGCCTTTAGGAACTACCAGGTCGACTGCCCCGAAGATTTGATATCTAGTTTCGATCTGCTGCACGGTTGTGATAGTCTCGGCCATATGGCTGACGATGTTCACTCCTCTGGGCAGTATAAGGGGGATTTTGTCGAGACAGCCCGAAAGAGATGGAATTTGAGCAAGGCCACTTTCTCGATAAGCCGGGACGAATCAAGTGGGAGGCCAACACTTCAGGTTGAGAACCTGAATCCGAATACATGAATGTTGTAATGATTATTAAGTAATGGTCTAATAAAACATCAACTTACTCTCATTTTCTCGACTCTTTTAACAGACTGACAAACTCGTTGGTCCTGGTGTAATGATAGTGACTCGTCAACGGATAACAACGGGCAGTCTCAAGAAGCCCAGCGTTTATCAATAGTTTAAACCCCTCTGGCGTCATCAGGAACCCGAAATAGCGGAAACTCCACTTGCTCCTATCACGGGTAGTTTATGTGATCAACATGTAAACCTTTGAACCTGGAGCAAGAGACTTTCGGAAGTTTCCTCAAGGGGTAGGGGGCGTAGCAGCGGGGCCACAGATCAGCGCATTTAGACATCGCTCTGCCCTGCACATGGATGATCCAGGAGCTGAGGATCGGTGTTTGACCAATCTAGAGGCCAGGTTGCAACTGTGCCGCAGAAACTTGGGCACCTTCCTAGAGTGATCCCTCGCGTGCATTTCGAAGCCCCATGACAGCTAATCAATCAGGGAGGTAATTTAGCTTGCTGTAACGTTTAGGGCGCTTGAGGATCAACATTAATATAGATGGTACACATATAACTCCTCCTAGAGCTTGGAAATGAGTATCTACTGACTGCAATTGCTTTCACGGCATCGACACTTTGGACTAATGGATCACTCAATGACTTGGATTGCTCCTCTCCTCGTCGGGCTGCTCACCCCGGCCGTTGTGAACAGTGCGCCGACACTGGCCACTCCTGACCTTTCCACCGGCGACTTCATCTATCTAGGCAATGGGCAATATGAAAACCAGACCGCTAGCATTATGGCCGTCGACCCTCCAAAGGCCTTGCCCCTAAAAGCGACAGCAAATGACCTGAGATGGCAACCATCCATGGATTTTGACACCGATGGCTGCTATAACGTCCCCGCCATCGATGCCAACGGTCAAATTTCAGCGGGCCTACCATACCAGTGGACAAGCCTTGCGGGAGATTGCCGTGATGCGTCTGATCTGGACAATAACAATGTCTATGTCCGGCAGCGCTGTAACAACGGATGGTGCGCCTACATCTACGACTACTACTTTGAAAAAGATGTTGCTGTCCCGTACATCGGCTTCTTGAGCGGCCACCGTCACGATATAGAGCATGTAAGTGATTTAAAAAGCGCCTGGCAGAGATAAACTACGCATTCCTGACTACCTTGCTATAGATCGCGGTCTGGGTGAAGGACGGAGCTGCCCAGTACGTCGGGGCCAGCCAGCACGGCAACTATGAGATTCGGGCTGCATCTGACGTGCGATGGGATGGTGAACACCCCAAGATGGTGTACCACAAAGACGGCTCCAGCACACACTGCTTCCGTTTCGCTACCGAGAAGGACGACGCTATAGAAAACCACAAAGGGATTTGGTTCCGCGGCGACCTGGTCAGCTGGAATGGCTTCCCATCGGGAATCCGCGATACGCTGATGAACTATGACTTTGGCACTGCCAACTTTGCTATCAGAGACGCCAAGTTCTCCGATGCCCTGACCAAGGCGCTTCCAAGCGGAATCACCTTTGATGTGAATCTCGATGATGGATCTCCTGGTAATCCAGGATTTACGCATGTAGATGAATAGACAAATATCGAAATATTCGTCAATATTGGAACTGTTCTCCGAACCGTTTATTAGGTAGTTAGTAGGATAATTCAATTGGAATCCCGTGTTCTTTTTGCTGCTTTCTCGGCTGCCTAACATAATTTGATGACCTTCGGAAATGCTATCATGTAGGCTGGCGATTATCAACCCAATCAATTATCGCATACACTTAAGTGCAGCCTGCAGACACGTCATGTGGAGGCTACGTCGTGGCTGCCTGCGTGTGGGGGTAAGCACAATATATGAGCACGAAACTCGATGAACGGCCATGTCTTGCAGTAATATTTTGCCATTATTTCTGGAACTTTTCTCAGCATTTGGGACTTTTAACAATGGCACCAAGCAGGGCTAAGCTAAATCTAAAGGTGCGTGGAAAGTAATCAAATCTAAAAGATGCTTTTGGTAGCTTACTATATGTGGAGTTAGATTATCCTTCTCGGCGATGCCGGTGTTGGGAAAACGAGTGTCCTCAACCAACATGTACGTTTGTCCGTGTTAACCTCCTCGATGATGTTCTCGAAGGGTATTCCAATTTGAACTCATCACCCCAATCTTGCAGGTGTTTCAACTGTTTCCTTCTACTCAATTTGTGACACGCATCCCGCCTGATTTTATAGTCAAGGATACAATGGTCAATGATCGCCACGTAACACTTCAGGTATGCGTAATCGACTGATATATCTATGGCTGAACAGGAGGAACTGACCTTAATAGTTCTGGGATCCAGCTGGGCTTGAACGTTTTGGGCCGATACATAAGCCATGGTATCGAAATACCCATTGCTGTGTGCTGATGTATGACGTAAACAATGAGAAAAGCTTTCGAAGCTTAGAGAATTGGCTGAAAGGGTGTTGTGATGAGTGCTTTAATCTGGATATCAACAATTTTCCTGTCGTAAGTTAGATTTCTACTCAAGTGTTTTGATGCTATGAAATGCTGATTATTGGTAGATCTTGCTTGGAAACAAAATTGATGATGGAGAAAAACGACAAGTGAGTTATACGGAGGTTTTAAAGCCTCATATATACAGTGCGGTATTAACAATGCGGCCAGGTAACTCCCGAGCAAGCCTTACAGTTCTGTGCGGAAAACGGGAATATGCCATACTTCGAGACCAGTGCGAAAGATGCCACGAATTTGCAGGAGGCGTTTGAAACCGCTACGAGATTTGCCCTTCGGTATAAGGATATGTTGGATAAGTTGGCTAAACATGACAAAAGCCTGGTGAGCGTGGAAAAATCCAACGCCAAGAAAATGTGCTGGTAGAAACATTCCCATGAAACACGAGTGACATGGGCTCTACTTGGCCTTATATCAATTGCCACTCAAAAGGAGGCTTTTACACCTGTGTAACTTAATATTCAATCTCACGAGAGAAATTATCTTTTGTGGCTTATTGTTGGAAAACCCGATGTTTGATCACATGCAAAAACCCGACTATTTCAAAAAATGCCTGGAGACTAAAAGAGATACAAAGGACGATCTTCTTCAATTTACTCAAAGGCAGACTTTTGTAACCATTTTAATCTTTTTTTCGCAGCTAATCCATCCAAGACAAAATTTTCAGGTCCAAAACCAACGACATGGCTGAGAGAAGAGGAGATATCGGGCTGGCCCCACCTTTATGAAGTATTTTGGAACATCAGAGAAGCTTTTCTCTTTTCCTTCACGCACTTGACTAACGCACCACAATGGCCGCCGCATCATCCGAGTCGTCGCTCCCCGCCCTCGTTTTCGTGCCTGGAGAGTGGCACGGACCAGAGATATTCGATGAGGTACGGTCAAACCTCAATGAGCGGGGATACATCACGGAGGCAGCAACATTGGCCACTCACGGCGCCACGGATCCCAACGTAGGCCTGGCAGAAGACGTAGCCAATATACGCTCAACGATCGAGAAGCTGGTCAATGAGGGCAATGATGTGGTAGTGGTAGCCCACTCGTACGGAGGCGTGCCTTCTTCGTGCGCTGTTGAGGGCCTCGGGGTGATTGATCTGGGGGCTCAGGGAAAAAAGGGCGGCGTGATCATGGTCGTATACGTGACTTCTTTTGCCATTGAGTCAGGGTCAAGTCTCTTAGAGAGCGTGGGAGGAGCTCACCCACCCTGGTGGAATGTGCAGGTGAGCATGAAATTCCGGGTTGTGTTGCTGACAAGACTGACGAGCCTGAACCCCAAGGGAGAATTTGTCACCCCAAGTGACCCAGCTATTTTCTACGGCGATGTCGAGCCTCCAAAGGCAGAGAAGCACATCCAAGCCATTCGCTCAATGCCACTCAAGGCCTTCAAGGACATTTCCACTTTCACACCATGGGAAAATGGCATCGAGGTTGGATACATCTACGCAGAGGAGAACCAGGCAGTTAGCCTTGACATTCAAATTGAGCTGTCTTCACAACTCCCCGCTAGCTCGTTCACCGAGAGCCTGAGCTCAAGCCACATGCCGTTCTTGAGCATGCCGGAGACACTGTCCGACACTATCGACCAGGCGGCCAAGCGCGCAGTTGCTCGGAAACCTCGATAGTCCTCGCCAGGATGAGGGGCAAGGCAACTGAAAATTAGAACGCAGTCAAATTAATAAATGGATGAATTGTATGTTAGTTTCCGCTTCAGATTTCCCACGCAACGTGTAGGCTAGTCTCAATCTTCACGCCTGACCGGAAAGTTCCGATCTGTAACTAGAGAGCCGTTAAATGTGAGGGACTTAAACTCCGGTCGTAGCAGTTTATTTTGAAGGTCTGTCTCGAGCACCCTACCGATCTTCATGATAAAACCTAGGACAGGATATAACGATGACTCAGTATATCGGGCCCTAAACAATTACCGGTAGTCCGATACCACGTCCAAATGGTTGCATCATCACTTTGATTAATTCGCTACCACACATCTTGCAATAAAGTTTGGCTAATCTGTGAGGCCCATAAATTTGAGACGAGCATATTGAAAGATCATGGAAAGTTTTCAGAGTGACTCGCCTTTGCCGCAGGTGACACGGCCACTGGGTCGTTGACTCGTTCTTCACAGTAATCACCCAACCATACGGCTTTGAGGGTGCCATGATTCTCCGGTTAACACCCATGTATGGTTTTAGTAAAGTCACGAGCCCAGATCCATCCCGTTGTAGAAGTGTGCGCTGATGATAATCGAGATGACGTTGCAGTCCCCCATAACCCCGCAGATCCCGGGAAAAGGCTGCCTCGGTTGGTAGCAAAGAGAGAAGAAGACACAGTCATGCAGGGGTTAAGAACCAGAGTGTCTGCCTGTAATAAATCGAGGTGCCTTATTGTTACCGTCTGCCGTTTGGAGCCTCGGCATTCTGGTCGCCAAGTCATCAGGTAGCGAAGTGGTTACCAAGTTTGTGTCTGCCCTCACCAATGAGGTAACAAGTTGACACCAACTCTGCCTGTAGCATGTAATAGCAGCACAAATGTACGCGCGTGATCAGTATTAATGTAATGCATCGTCTTCAGCTTCATGAGTTTGAAGCTAGCATGCATTCATCAATGCTGGAAAAGCACGAGAGCAGACTTGTCTAGTACAACTATCCCGATACTACTCGCCCCCTAACTTCATCCCCGAACCCGAACCCCAACCATCTTACTATCCCGGAACTACAATGTCGAAAATCCCAACGCAGGGCGAGTACCTCGATTGGTACGGCTTCAAGTTCAGGTGGGCGTCATATCATCAGACCCCCGACCAACTCAACCACTATCTGTACTCTTACGACACACTATCGACCCATGCGCTGGAAGCTCTGGACAAGCTTAGCCCGCCTGCCCCGATCGCTCCTCGAAAAGACATACAGACAGCCTACGAACCAAAAGAAAAATCCTTAACGAGGGACCTGTTCAAGCTCCTACAGAAGCATGTCAATGACGACCAGGCGATCCAAGCGCTATGGAACGAAGTCAACGCCGTTCCGGAATGGGTCAATTGGGATGAGATCGAAAGGGGGCAAAAGGTCTTCTGGAGATATGCTGGTCCTGCTATTACTGCTGTAAGATCATCTGGATTCTTGATTCAATCTGCCTGCAAGACTTGTTACTAACGATGTTCCCAAGTTAACCCATCTATCTCTACTTGGCGGCATGTCGAGTGGAAGAACGGTAGAGACCCTCGATCGTACTGGAGGTTTTGGTGCCCGTGCCGTCAAGCGGCGTTTGATGGAGACCGTACAACACACATTCGGTGTACACAAGGATATCCAGTCCATTCAGCCCGGTGGTGAGGGGTGGGAAGCCTCCGTCCGTGTGCGACTCCTTCACGGCTCCGTCCGTCGCCGTATCATGCAGCTAGCTCAGGAGAAGCCTGAGTACTACAGCATCAAGGATCACGGAGTTCCCGTCAACGATCTCGATTGTATCGGTACCATCAACACGTTCAGCTCTACAGTTATTTGGCTAGGGTATCCCCGGCAGGGCATTTATTTGAGCAAGCGGGAGATCCTTGATTACCTTGCTCTCTGGCGATATGTAGCTTATCTTATGGGCACCCCGCACGATTGGATGGCAACACCAGAGATGGCCAAAGCCATGATGGAGTCTCTGCTCGTTTCAGAGTATAGGCCGACAAAGAAGTCCGCCACGTTGGCCAATAACATCATCACCGGCTTTGAGGGGGAACCACCGATCTACGCCTCCCGCGGGTACATCAATGCCCTGACTTGGTGGTTGAACGGACCGCAGCTCGCGCGAGCTCTAGAGATTGAGAAGCCGAGCCTGTATCATTATGCTCTCGTGGCCTCGCAGTGCTGGCACTTTATGGTCATCAGCTACATCACGTCATCGATTCCTTACCTAGATCGCCACAACATTGAGGCAAGTCACGCATTTTCCATTACGGGTTATGCTACTAATTCTGGACAATAGTTCATGAAACGTTCCTACTACGACGCTTTCGTCTTTAACAAAAAGAAAGGAGCTTTAGGATACAAGGCCATGTTCTTATTCAAATGGATCCCGGACCATGTCAATACAACCACACCTTTGGGTGTAACAGATGAGGAGCGAAGGAAAATGTCCGGTGCTTTTGGGAAAGGAACCATCGAGAAAACTGCTCTTGTTCAGATGCTTCTAAGCACCCTGACGCTCTTTTCTCTGGCATACTATGCATGGGCTATCCTTCGAAGAACGCAAAGCGGGTAAAATAGGTCGAAGTCGAAAGAAAGAAGTAGTACATCACAGGAACTTTCTAGTTGAGCAGATTTAAAGATTCAAGATTTGGCTTTTGTACGAATACATCTTACATAGCATTTACTATCCAGCAGCACTGTACCGTTGATGTCCCAAGCCCTGGTAGGACGCATGACCAATTGTATGTTGACTTCTCTGGCCCAAGTCCAACCGCTGTGCTTTTTTGTCCATGTAAACCTTTCTCATCACCTGTTGAATCACCGTTATGGCATAATCTGAGAGGTTGGACTCTGCTGTTGAAAGAAGTGTGCTAACCTGTTCAGGTGTCCATACAAGATTGTAGGAACTCGAAAAGGCTGCTTTCTTCAAAGGTGTTAGCGATTCATACTTATTAAGAGTTTTGGGGGGACTCACGGAAGGGTTGTAGTGAGGATTAACGGCGTTTGGCAGCAATGGGCAGTACACTATGTACAGCACTTGGCCATTTTGCCTTCTGCCTCTAAAGACCTGCGCATATTGTTGGAGGTGATGGGATTCAATGTGGGCAGCTGCTGGTCCAAGGACACCCTCCTCACTTCTCGATCTCGGAAGCTCAAAGAGATCGGTGCGATCCTCCAAATGAATACCGCTATCCTCAGCGAAATTGTGTATTCTTTGAACAGCAGAATGTGTCTGGACATCCGAAGATGCGTCAAAAGAGATGATGACATCTGCAGAGCGCTCTTCTCGTGCCAATACGTGATTTGGTAGGTTGTTGGACATCCCACTGTCCATGAGTCTGACTCTCCCTTGCGCTTCCCATTTCTGAGTCTTCGTTGGCTCGTCCTTGGGAGTCGTACTTCTTTCACTGGCAATGCTCTCGTCCCCTGCAGAATCCCAGGAACTATCTACCCCTATTGCCTCTCTGTTGTGGTTTAACGGGAAGTTAAGGCCATAAAATGGATTCGGGTCGTGTCCAGCACGAATAGGATTCACCCAAAGCCTCTCCCATTTCTTCTGGCGGATGAATCTATTTACTGCGAACAGCGCCCTTGACATCATCGTACCCTTCGGCAGGGAAGCGAGAAGGGCGGATATGTATCCTGTCAGTGGCCCAGCCGGAGCACTTGTGCACTGCCCGAGTAAGAGTGCGAAAGACTGCTCAGGTCGCCGATCAGAAGAGTGGCCAGACACAAAGGTGCGTCCCCATGACCACGTGGGAATGTACTTTTGGATATCGACACATCCAATCTCCAGAGGAGAAATCTCGAACCACTGAAACAGGCCATCATGTCGGATGATATTTCCTCGTTCATCCTTAGGGCGTTCTTGCTCGCGGACTAAGCGTGCATTCAAGCAATCAGCGTCATGCTGCAACAGTGATCGATCTGGAGGTTGTCCCTTGCTAATCGAGGAGTCTCTGTGTGGTTTTACTCCCTCGGCGTCCTTCGGGGCCCTTCTCACTGCTGTGAGGATCGGCATGGGTTCTGCTGCTGTCTTCGCACAAGAACGACCCCAAACCTTGGAGAATTGGAAAGTAGCTCTGCTCAGTCTCATACCTGGCTGCCGTGACAGAAATTGATACGTTGTGATCAGGGTCGCGTAGAGATCCATGATACCCAGTCCAATAATGCTACATTCCACCTTTCGAAGTAATGGTCCGATGAGAAAGTAGACGCCTTTGCTGCTCCTTGCCACCACGTTTAAAGCGTACAGACTCATGGGGTGAGCAAGTTCGTGAGCGACGGTCACATAATGCCGCATGAGTTTGCCAATATCGTGGCCGGCAATTGTGTAGTAGGCACCCAGCGTCCAACAGCTTCCACTCACTCCGGCCACCCAGGTGATGCAATCCCATAAATGCAGCTTCTTCGATGCCAAGATGAAGGCTCCAAAACCGTACATTGCTCTGTAACCTCCACCCGAACCTCCAAGAGACACCAGGGGCACATCTCGGGGATCAACCACCTCATCTGGCGGAAAGCCCAGGAACTTGTGTAACGAATCCTCGCCCTGGGAGGAGATGCGCCTTTTACGCAAGTCGATGAATTCTTTTTCCTCGCGATGCAAGTCAGACGAGCACCTTACAGTCGCATCCCATTTCAACTCGGGGTACACCTTGTAGTCGGAATCATCCCGGCGAAGAAGATGCTTGACCTGGGTGAGATCAGCAGTCCTGTGGTACCACCTCTCCACCGTCGTCCTGACGGGCGAGCTAGAATTCAGAGTCACGGACCGTCTTTTTCCTGGCTCAACCGTCGGTATAGACTTCCTGGTTCGCTCCAGCCTCCTTCTCTTCGCTGCCAGCGCTTCTCTAACAAATGCTATCTGGGCGTTGCGGCTTGCAAATTCTTGGATCTTGTCCAAATGCAATTGGCTCCTCGCGTGCTCAATACCCGAGGAAACAGGCGTGGCTTTGAAGAGAGAAACCAGGGCACAGAGACAATACGCCTTGAGGTACAGGTACGTGGACGACTGGCGCAGCGACCTGAGTACGACCATGGCTCCGGCCCTGGAGCGCAAAATATGTACGAAGAAAACGGAGGAAGTGAGTGCATACAGGGGATATGAGCGAGTAATACAGGAGTCAACTCTGGCCATGTCACAACGAGAGAATTATGGTTTTGCACCGCCCCCAACTGTCCAAGTCTCTTCCCATCCTTCCGATAAGCTACAGTAGACACAGTAATCGCCTCAGTGGAGTCTGGCGCCTTGTTACTTGGTGTTTTGGCGGATGACGATCTGCGCCATTCGAAAGCCTTGTTCAACCCACGTGGCTCACCTCATTCAACACGTTGAGAGCGGGATTCGCCAATGAAAAGGCAGTACTGGGATAAGCGCTATTCTAACCGTTCAGATTGGCTACAAAAGAAACTTGAGTCATTATTAAGCTAAGGTGATTGGACCCCTAATCGCGCTTCTAGATCTTCAGTTCGAGCACGAGGCCATTGTGATTCCACGCCGACGAAATAATCCTTTGATATTTCTACACCTTTACATGCTGCGGGTGCGGCAAAGAAGCGTGCAATATGGACAGATATTCCAGCCGTTCAATTTATACTAGCCAAATACTTCAATCATGAAATGATACTCGATCTTACTCCCATCATGGCGGCCCCTTGTGGTCAACTCTCTGCACTTATCGGCGAGAATCTCTCCAACAACCGGCGCTCCGCAATAGAAAACTCCGACCTTGAGCTCCTTGTCGACACCATCTTCAAGGCCCGGGGAGCTTTCCGATTCCTTTTTTTGCCTCCTCAATTGATGTTCCCGCAGCTCGTCATAATGCTCGTCCAGAATTTTATCGAAATCAGGCCGTCCAAAGTGTGTAGGGTTCAACAGGCCGGTGAGCGGCGAGGCAGGATGCTCCTTGGTGCGGTGCATTTCCAGAAGCCAGCGGTAGACGTGTGTCACCACGCTCTTACTCTTGGCCGTGACGTGTGTGTTGAGTCGGATCTCCAAGTGTCGACGTTGTCCGTTCTCGCGATGCCAGTTTTGACTAACCGAGACTTCATTCAGGAGGTCAGAGATCCAGAGTAGATAGTTTCTGTCTCGGACCATCCAGTGAAAATCCACCCGGCGATAGTCATCTGCAAAACCCCTCGCATCATCGTCCGAGAGCTCTCCATTGTTTACTTGGCCCCCCGACCTTGTCTCCTCACTCGAGCTCTCAGCCAGGTCTGACGTGGTCTGTGATGTTTTGTTGGATGAATCAGGATGCCCAGGCCGTCCTGATGGGCCACCATGGTCCCGGTCATCCTTGTGCTGCAGATCAGCCAGAATACCCGAGAATGGAGTGACCCCTATGCCAGCACCGATGATGACTGAATGGCTGAAATCATAGAAGCGCTGAGCGGGAGCCCCGAATGGCCCGTTCAACCCAACACGGATCTCCGAATCACCTGTTGTACCACCTAGCTCGCGTAATCTCCTAGTCCAGTTGCCATCTGTCTTGATATGGACAGTCATCTCGTTGCCGCGGCAAGACGATACGGTAAATGGATGCCACTGAAAGAAGCTTATTTTGGGCACTTGCAGGAAGATGTACTGTCCCGCACGATACTGTTCTGCACGATACTTCCACAGACGTCTGCCCGGAATCACCGCGGTGACTTCCACCGCTTCATCGTCTAGAACCTTGAGACGAGCAGAGATGGGGTGGAATCCTAGCATGATGCGGATCCCCCGTTCAACAAGCACCAGCAACGTCGGGAAAGCGAGGAAGTAGCCGAACATGGGCCATTGAAGAAGGTGGGCCGTACCGTGAGCCATCATCAAGCCGATTATTGGGAACATCATAAGATGTCCAAGTTGGAATATCTCATAGTTCCAACGGCGTACCTGCGGGATACTGAGAAGAGACAAGACGTACATAAGTCCGAGCGCTGTAAGACCGGTAAACCCCGGAAGGGAGCGAATGTAGGTGATGTAAGAACGCGGAACCGGGTCAGGTCCCAGTATATCGGCCACCGCTTGCTCATTGGCAGGGTTGCTCCCATGGACAAACGATCCAGTCAGGTGGCCAAGGGCATGCAGCGTGGCAAGTAGAATCGCCACACAAGAAATTCGAACGTGAAAATCCTGAGACAAATCCCAATTGATGAATCTTGAAATGCAATAAGATCTGCGAAGCGCCGTTGACAGATACCGGGACATGCTCAAGATGAGGAAGAAGAAGGTCGGGTAGAGGGCGCCCGCGCAGGTTTTGGCCATGACAGCTCCCCAGCCAAACGCAGCCCGGTATTCAGACGCCATGTAGTATTTCACAAGCTGCCAGACGCCGAAAGCAACCTGAATCGAGATGACAAGAGCGAGGAACGCGACTTCAGGGCCGTGGACAGCCCAGTAGGCTCTGATCTTGCGCCAGCCCGGCCGCCGTCGGAAGTACGTCTTCTCGTCTTCCTCTTCTTTCTTAGCCTGCTTCAAGGAAGGAATGTTCCATTGGCGAACGATATCTTCGAACTCTTGACGAGAAATCCGATCGGCGTCCGAGCCCATCAGACTCCGGAGAAAAACGTGTCGGGCGTCCTTATCATGGGAGTCGTGCCCGCGTTTAATAATGTGGTGCGCATCGGGTTTGGGGACAAGCTCTTGGTGGGCTTGATCGAGCTTTTGCTCAATCTCCTTGTAGTCAATGAAACCGTCGTCATTGTGATCGAGATCATCAATGAATTGCTGGATCTCGTCGTCGCTCAAATATTTGACATTGTCGGAGGACTGGGCAGGGTGTTGATGTGACGAGAACGCCTGTCCACTGCTCTCATTTGCCATGGGATCAGCTCGTGGGCGTACTTGCGAAGGTCACAATGAAGGAGAACAGAAATTGGGAAAAGGAGGAGCAAATCTCCACCGAGAGATGTCTAACTACCAAAAGAAAGCGGGCCAAAGCACGAAACGAACTGAGACAACGCGGCCGCCTTGGTTGTCTTATTAACCACCCATCTCATTTTGTCCCTTATCTGCCAAGAACCACATACGTCAACGACTCGCGTGGTTTGAAAAACAGGTCTAATAAGAGGCCAATTCCAGTCTACGCCAAGCTTGCCGAGCCTGATAGTGGCCCTGACCTTGATTTCTTTCCCTTGGCGCAAATTTGAAAGATTGACGGATCGTCGAACCTTAAATTCAACCTTAAATCACGAGGCAATAGCTTTTCCGCTTGGAAATACCCAAGGGGTCATCTCTGTATTCTGAGAATTCAATCATATTAGGTTCAAAGGACACTGCTGGCGGAAACAACTGGATAATGGTGCTGCTACTTCACGTCTCATTTTTAGGCTGACGGCCAAGCGTCTTGGCTAAAATCATTATTTCGCCACAAAACTTGAAGAATGATGCACATTAACCCGCACTAGATCTAAAAGCACTTTTCTCGATCTCATACTGTTATCTCAACCCTTTCCAAGAGTTTCTGGGTTGGAAAGTTTTACCTACCCTATACCCACATCAACAACTATCATACATAACATCTTCCCGGTAAAGGACAATTTTTTGTTTTGTGCTAGCTACTAATCTGCTCTTATAAAGCTGAGAATAATTTAATTTAATCATTAAAGAACAAAAGTGTGTTGAAAAGGGGAGTTAATGCTCAACATGGATAGGTTTTATTGCTTGAGAGCGGTTATTCTCTCGCACATCATTGCTACCAAGAAAAACATTCCATGAACGAATATCTCTTTTAATGTAGCTTCAGCAACCTCTTTCGTTCAATAAAGCCTTTGAACTACTGATGATTGAAGAAATTTTAGCGTTCTGGTGTGCTCGTGCTACGCCCCTCCCTTACTCTGAATAACGCTCGATTGTGAATGATGAAATTGCGAGGGGCTGGGTCCTGACTCCGGTGCCGATTTGCCGTCTTACTTTCCGTGACAGGGCACGGTCCAAAGCCGGAAAAGTCAGGGCTCACTAATCGGAATTTTCCTGTCAATTCATTGCTTTTATACACATACGAAACGCTTCTTCACGCAATCTAACGCGATGAAGAGAAGCCGAGATGGAACTCCGACGATGATTGTTCATCGGTGGAATCGGCTGCCGTTGTCGTGTCGCGCGTGTCGAGAGAAGAAGCGTCGCTGCGACCGGAAGCAGCCCTGCGCGAACTGCTCCCTCAGGAATCTACCGTGTGATTATGCAGACAACATAGGCGATGGCCATCCGGTAATAGAAAGAGACGACCGTGTCCCCGCTCCTCCCGCTGGCATTGAGCAAGCCAACTCGCTCTCGCCAGCGGTCTTCGGGTCGCCTGACCAGCCCGCGCCGTACGCGACCCTTGCTACCCATTGGTGTTTGCGATGCTGACTGACTGGCTTTCAGGTCTTCGGGAGAGCTGCTCGCCAGAATCCGCAGACTAGAGGAGGCTGTCTTTAACCAGACAGATGAGACGAACCCCTATCAATCCCCGCGGAAAGGAAACCTAGGTACGAATGAAGGTACGAATGGGGTCGAGGCGAGTTGCTGACGTTGGAATATGGCAGAAATCTGTTCGTTCAAGGAGATATCTCAGAAAGTCTACCGACCGAATGACCTGCCAGTAGAAGATGCTTCTCGGCTTCTGCCTCCACTTGAGGAAGCCAACATCTTATTTGATCAGTTTACTAAAAACCTTCATCCTACTTCCGGTTTCTTACACATTCCATGGACGTATGAAATTCTACAAGAGTCATACAAGAAACTTCACAGTGGGACCGCAATTGACCCAGAAAGTCTCCTCCTGTTGTTTAGTATATTCTCAGGGGCAGCCCTGGCATGGACGCGGCCTATGTTGAGGAAGCTTTGCACCACGAAAGCTGAATGCAAAATCGCTTTCTCTAATTACAGCCAAGTATCGTTGTCCATATTGGAGGACACGGAAAGCCCACTGCCACCGACAACAATTAGCCTGGCGGGAACTGCTAATTTGGCAGTGGTGCTCGTCAATGGGCATGGCTTCTCACATAAGCTGTCTGCGTTACGGAGCCGGTGTTTGCTTATAGCACGTCTCTTGCAGCTTCACCGTCTCGATACGGCCAAGGCCCGCGAGGAGCGACAGCGCAATGGATGCAATGAGATCGAGCTTGAAGTTCAGCGAAGGATTTGGTGGCACATGGTTGCAGATGATTGGTGAGTTGCACAGAAGATTACTTTCTTCCTTTGGCAGCCGATTAACATTCAACTACAGGCTAATGAGCTTTGCGGGAGGCCCGTTTGATGGTGTCTACTCTTTCCATTCGCAGCACATGAAGGTGGACTATCCGAAGAATGTCGACGATCACCATATCACTGCCTCTATGCCTGTGCCCGACCTGCCACTCTCTACACCCACAGCGATGTCTACTTTCCTAGCACGCGTCAGATTTGCCACCCTCTGTCGTGAGATTGTAGACATCATGGGGCCAACATTACTAGAGGGCAACGAGCCCGAGTACAGTGTCGTCTTAGAAATAGGACAACGGCTGCAGAATCACCTTGATGAACTCCCTCCCTTTCTCAGACTAGATCCTGACAGTATAAGGATGAACCAGGATGTTTGCGCACAGAGACCCGATCTTGCGTTGCAACGGCTTGCTACAAACTTTAGTATTCACGCACGCATTTGCCGACTTCATCGCCTGTATCACCTAGAAGGCTCACTGAATCCAGAGTACGCATACTCACGCACCATGTGCATCCGGTCAGCTCATCGGGTCCTGGAGCTGAGGCGTGCTATGGACCAGGTTGGGACAGAAGCAGGCTGCCATCCAGCCCGGTTTTGGAAGATTACGCAGCACGTATTCCTCGCGGCCTTGACCCTGGCGACAGATGTTTCTATCAACCCCGAGGGCCCGGATGCGGATGATAGGAAGGCGAAAGTGATGGCGGCATACAAGACTTTGGAGAGCTCCAAAGAGGACTCAATCACGCTTGTGGAGACGATCCAGAAGAATCTACAGGCTCTGATGACAACTTTAGAGTCAAGGCGAACGGCGATTCCATCGTCTCTGGGTAGAGCTCAAAGACCACGGAGACCTGAAACCGTGATAGCGCAAGTCGCTCTCGCCCAACACCCGCCACGGCTGGAGCCGATCGGACCAGAGGTGAGCGATGAGCCTGGATTAGGTTCAATGAACCAGGATATCCCGATTTCAGTTGATGGTAGTGTTTCCGCAATGGATAGCGGCAGCTCTGGGGTGGATCAGCTATGGGATGACTTCTGGGCTGTGGCCCCAGATTTGGAGGCCACAGACTGGAATATGTTGCTAGAAGACATGTACACGGACTGGGAGCCCAACATACAATAGCGAAGTACATGTTCAGCTAGAATTTCAGCCTACTACACAATATAGAACAACGAAGTACATTTAGTCACAAGCTACAGCAACGGCACCACGCCCGAGACTCCCATGACGACTGGAACACCCCGAGACCAACTTCAGTGACGCGAGATGATTCTAATAATATAATTACGATCCATAAGAGGGCCTCTGGTTTTCTCTGACTCCCCCAAGCTTATATGACTCGCGTACTTGAAGCCCGTTTTCGCTTACTTGTTGCCGTCCTCGGGGAATAACTTGGCCGTTATGTGGATCACCGCGGACCCGCGGAATCACTAACTAGATCTGGCAGTTCACACCGCGGCGACGTCAATACAAGTGAGCTTGATGATGGTGTATAAGAGGGAAAAGATCGAGCTTCATTGCCGACGAATAGATAGGAAAACAATTAACGTCACACCGTCTCAAAGAAGCTCAAGTTACTCTTACGTCTATCCTCCCATTCTTTTTCCCGAACATAAAATTGTGGTCAACCATGTCGAAAGCTAGCAAGGTCAGTCAGTCGCTATGATCCTTAGGCCCATCAATTCCTTACAATGTTTATGGAAATTAACAAAGTCTTAGGCGATAATTATTGGCAGTGGCCCGGCCGGGTTGGCAGCGGCTCTCCGGCTCAAGGAGCAAAACCCTAATCTTCAATGTACCCTTTACGAGCTTCGTAAACAACCCACTACGATTGGTGGCGCCATTGGAATCATGCCCAATGGAATGAGACTCCTTGCCCGACTGGGCTTACATGGAAAGCTCACAGCTTGCGGCAGCAGTGCGCAAGTTGTAACTGTCCATTCCGTTCGTGGACAGGTCTTGGCCGAGCGACCCTTGGTTGGTGATGCCCTCCAGAAAACCGGATTTGGGTACCTGCGGATCAAGCGAACAGCCCTCGTGGAAGTCCTGCTTGAGGCAGTGAAGCGAGAAAGCATCCCTGTTCATTACGACAAGCGTATCATTTCCATCAAAGAAGAAAATGATCAAGTACACGCTACGTTTTCTGATGGAACGGTGGATTCGGCAGACTTCCTGCTGGGATGTGACGGAATACATTCTGCTGTTCGAACACTTTATGTCGACCCAGATCGTGTTCCAGAATACACCGGAATGGCCGGCCTTGGAGGCATTGTCCCGCTCTCCGAGTCTGCACGAGCAACTATGAAGAACCTCGGTGTCACAATGACCGAAGATGGAATGTTCATCACTGCCCCATGCACTGTTCAACATGACGAGGTATTTTGGGGACTGTCTAGAGAAGTTCCTCTGCCCGAGTCAGGGGATGTAAAGGACGGATGGGAAGTTCGCCGAAATGAAGAGGTTGAACACTTCAAGGAGACAGCCACCAATCTATTGAAGAATGCTGAGGGTGAATGGGGCAGCCTATTGAAGCAGATTGTCGAGAGTACCGGAGTCGTCAACTTTTACCCGGTTCACAAACTGCCACCGGGCAGATGGGCAAGAGGCCGAGTTCTGCTATTGGGCGACGCAGCGCATGCCATGCCTCCTCACGCAGGCCAGGGTGTCTCTATGGCTCTGGAGGACATTTTCATACTTGCGCGAGTTCTCCAGAGCCAGGGCGAGACCACATCATTCGAGGCTGCCTTTGAAAGAGTGGAGGAGATTCGAAAGCCTCGTATCGCCGATGTTGTCGCACGCTCCGTGGAGAATGGTAAGGCGCGAAGGAAGACCACGCCACTGGGGCTGTGGGCGAAGGAAATGTTTATATGGACGTCTGCACAGTTGTCTTGGTTCTCTGGAGTATTCAATTTCGGCATCGACGAGAAGCACCTACAGTATGACGTGGATCAAGAGGTGATTTGAGTCTTCTCCCTTCTCTAAGGTGTAGAGATTAAGAGTGAACCCTCAGAGAGCACGTCCTCAATTTTCATGAGACTTTCTTTGGCCATCATCGGTTTGAAGTAAGGGCAATACAATAGACCAATCAGTTTGATACGAACGCGAGTATTGAAGAGAATTAGACGCCATGGTGTTAGCAATATTAGAACTGGTACTCAATAATTTACATTCTGAAATTGTGCTATTTCACAGACTCCCAAATAGAACACGTTGATATTAATTGATGCTATTGACTCATTTCCACGAAGAGCTCTAATGAACCTGCATCCCGAGGCAAACCCCAAAGTCATACTGCGTTAATGAGTGGCTCTGCCCCCGCGCAAGGCCCAAGACTGGAACGTTTGGGATGGATATCTGTCGGTGGACACTCGGGCAAGCTGTGCAAGCGACTGGGTTTCCGATACGCTTTTGTCAACCATCATAAAATCATACACATTTGCTCGTGTATCAGGAATCAACCGATCTCGCAGTGCAAGCAACAGCTCCATTATAGCTGGCGCCATCTTGGATAAGGCTGTGAAAATACCCCAGAGAGGCTGTCCAAACGGCCCATACTGCGCAATTTTAGCATAGACGTCGCCATCACCAGTGTTTAGTCTGCCTAAGGTCTGGTCTCGTTTGATTCTTCCTTCAGCCTCATCTAGCTTTGGTTTGGAGATGATTGTGTTGGTGGGATCTTGGCTGTGAATAGCCCTCAGCATCTTCGATAGTGCGAAGTCTGCAAGTACTTCATTCGGCTCAATCACTTTAGAAGCAAAGCTCCAGTTCCCGAGCCATTTCTCAACTAGTCCGGCTCCTATTCTAAAGAACCGGAATCGTTGTCTGCCGAGATCGTAATGCACCCCCGGAATCCACTCTTCTTCAATGCCCGATTTCGACCCATCCTTTCGGATAGCAAGACAGGGCTGGAAGATGTAGAATCTGTCATGCAGAGACACCAAGTGATGCATCTGATCCACGACGGAAGAGACTTCGTTGTCGTAAAACTCAGGCCAATTCAGACCAACCCCTCCAGTAAAGGTCGGGATGCCCAGGCCGCCTACAGTGTCGAATACTCCCATGAAACGAACGGGGGCTTTAGGACGGTGCTCTGGAGAGTCTTCGTCACCTATGAGAGGCCAGGATTTCTCTTTGCGAAATTCCTTGGACGTCTCTGAATGCGGGCAGTTGATATCATATCGCGAGCGGTAAATGCGATATACCTCCTTGCACAGAAGCTCTGTCTCTTCGGCAGTTCTGCATTTGCGGATTACTCCACAATTATTGATCATGCCAGCGACACACCGTACTGTATACGATCCACGGCTGAGCCCGAACATCCATATCTCGTGGTCCAGAGTGTAGTTCTCGACGATGAACTTGTAGGTGGAGATGCACTCCGCAGCGAGATCCTGCGCGGTGATGCCATTAAAGAGGTAGTCCAAAAACGTGCTATTGAGACCGACCCCATGGTGATAACGGGCTGTGAGAGTTGGGGTTCGCAGGATATGCTGGTCCTCTGTGTTTGGATTGTTGATTTGAAGGCCCATGAGCTCGGCAAGTTTATAGATGTTGGACTGTGTGCCAGTCTCGCGGCCGCACCAGGTCCCGTCGCTCAAAACTATGATGCGATGCATATCTACTTGCTTGAAATACGTAGTGAGATATAATGAGGGGGAGAAGAAACTGTTTGTCGGTGAGTGCGGGGAGACATGCCGCCCTATTTATGATCAGCTGAATGCCTAGTCTGATGACGGCGACTCCGAGCGAGACGGCAATTAACTTTGCGGCTGAACGTGGAAGAAAGCAAGGACAGCTGACTTGTCGTATTTTGTTTCGTATACGGGCAATTGAGAAAGTTTTCATTCGGCCAAATCCATCCGCATACCGAAGGAACGTTTAAAGGGGTCCTTACTGCGTAGGCTGGAGAGGGAACCCAATACAAAGCTACACATCGCAACATACAGTGATCCCCGCGCTAAGTAGATGTATGACTCCATAAGGACCTTTATCCATAGACCTGCACTGCCCTGGTCTCTATGATTGACTTCTGCTCACTCTCTGCAGAATAATGAAACTCAGGATTGATCAAGAATGAACCCCCACTAAGGGATCAAGAGGGGGTTTACGAGGCTGACAAATTTTTGAGCTGTTGTCATATTGTGACTAGTATTCAAAGTCAGAGCTGTGATAGGACATGCTGGTAACGACTTCGGACTGTTCAACCTCATGGCTGATAGATCAATCCGTTACGCGCCCCCTCTTCCTGTGGTGATATGCTTTCTTATCCAATGCGGTGATCTTTGACGAGCACAGAAGGTAAGGTTATTTAAGTACAAATCCTAGCGCCATACTTCCAATGACTCCCCACGGGCACTTGTACTAAGCTTCTTCAAAGACAGAACATAGCTAGTTCTAGACCCTCCTAGATTGTCAGCTGACCCTTTTTCTGCATTCCTTTGATTATCAAGGCAGAGTCGATTCGACTGATTGGCACTATCGTTACCAGAAGAGAGGCGACCAAACTCCTCAATGAGAAATTTTAAATACAAAGGAAGAAGGCGATACAAGGGTCGTGAAGTTTTGGCTTTTGTTCTTATCAGCTCTTTTTCTGTTTGAGGCAAGAGGTAAAAGGTAAGATATCGTTCCTTTCAAAGGAGCTTGCAACAAAGGGCTTCTCAGATACGATGTGCGCGGGAAAAGACGACACGGAGCGTCTACTGGAGATTCTGCCGCCAGATATTCCACGGGAGTGAGGATGGGTTGCTTTTACGTATATCGTTATCTTGCTCATAGGCTACAAGTGGTCGACGCAGTCTTTTTCTATATGAATTCCATACAAACCCAATTACGATATCCATCTGCGCTTCTTCGTTCTTGGTTCATCGCCACTTCTCCAATCCTCGCCAACATTATCCTCCTCTACCGGAGCCACGACACCAAGCAAGAGCTTTGCATATGCCGCCGCTGTTGCTGCCGCATATTCCTGCCAGGTGTCGTTCTTTGCCCCGTCACAGTAGTCGCAGATACCACGAATGACGAGACACTCCACAGTATTGATGATACCGGCAGCCTCCATCTCAAAGCATAGGGCACCGTGCTGTCGCGTCAACTGGTCACGGAACGCTGCGTTCTTTACCACGCGATTCCCGGAAGCGATAAGGCCATAGTGAATGACAGGTGTATTCGTGGCACGTTGAGCGCGTTGCCGAATATGAGGGCAGGAAGTATTAGTTATCTGTCGAGATTCACACGAACTGCCGCAAGATGGGACAAGCACGTCCAGTTCCGACCCCGGATATCTGTACTCCGGTAGATGGTTGATGATTCTCTCTAGGTGAGGTCCCAACGGGTCTGTTCGTAGCCCCGGGTCCGATTGCAAGGCATTGATCGCGTTGGTCAAAACGCGAGGAGGGCGTTGCAACACGCCAGTAGGACAGAACGAGTTGTCTTCGTTACTTTTTCCGAGATCATACTGGAACACGCCGGGATTGGTGCCGGTAGGAAGTCCAACAACGACGTCGCCAAGACGAACATCATTCTTTTCTGATGGCGCTCCACCGGCAATACCGACCAAGAGGCAGAACCGAATGAAAGGAAAGCTGCGCTTCATGTTGGACGCTACACTTGCCGCTGAGTTGGTTCCATACTCTCCGGCTGGGAGACATGCGGCGACCACCAGATGTCCCGCTATCTCCCCGAGGGCATACTGATTGCTATCCGCGACTCCTGTCTTGAAACCAGAATGTCTGCTATCAAAGAGTACTCGGACTGCCATAAGCTCCTTAGACAGAGCACATATGATCCCCACTGTATACCGATCTCGGGTGTACGCTCTTTTTTCTATCGCAACCATCGACTCTTCTCCCATAGAGCGCAGGAGGAGCTCACTCACAGATTCAGACAAGCTCCTCGTGTTTGTCGTAGACGAAGGTGTACCGGTGCGTTTCGTGCTTGGACCAGGGCTAAACCCAATACCACTGTCCTTGAAAGAATCTGTGTCTTTACAGACTGAACTGGATGCCATGTCTGTTCCCCTCAATTCCCCTTCTTCAGGAGGTCCAGTGTCGCCCCATATCCAAGGAAAGGCTGAGTTGTGTCCAAAAATAATTGCCCCGGGGCCTCTCAATTCCAGTCGGTGTACGTTCGGGCGCAAGGCTTGACACAGCGTTGAGGGGAAAAGCGTCTGCACTGGCTCGCTATGATCTTGTCCTAACCCGCCTTTGCACTGGCAAAACATGAAGGGCGTTGTAGGCGTGTGGCATATCAAATTTCTCGTCACCCATTCATGCTCGTCTTGGCCTCCAGATGCCTTGCTCAGACGCTCCAGGTCTGAGAGACAACTAGCAACGTAGAACTGATTTTTTGGCAATTCCGCCCAGTACTCACACAAGCCTGTGCCTGATGGTCGTATGATGTCACCAAAGCCGTGACCATGCAGCACAACGGCATGAATATCTCTTACAAAATCAACCCACCCCTTGCCGATCGGTTGTATGGTAGCTACTCGTGGACGCAAAGGGTCACAATCTGTCACCAGATCCTCAAAGTCCCATCCTTCCAGGTATCTCCGTGGCCTATCAGTCAATGAGAGATTATTGTTCGAGGATACGTCGGCCTGATGATCTATGAGTTTCTCCAGGAGGCTATAAAAGTGGTCAATTTGAGTTTTGAGAAAAATATAACCCCCATCTTCGTCATCGTCCTCATAGAGCCTGAGGTTCCGGTTGTGTTTATTGATCAATACCTCGACGGCAGAGTTGGCGGTAAATGGTGTTTCTGCTTCTTCCATATCCGTGTTCTTGAAAAGAAAAGCTGATCGAAAGGGATCTTTGCTTGCATGAGACAGCGATGCTCTCACCACGTGCAGTAGAGCACTTGTGCCATTAACCAACCAACCTCGTTCATCATGTGTGTCCCACAGGAGAACGAACTTGGTGGATATCCATTTCAATCGCCGTATCGTGCCTTTTTGGGTAATTTGTACCGGCTTATCCTTCGACCCAATGGAATATTCAGGGCCATCCTTGATCATCCGGCCGGATGAGACCTTTGTGCCTGCTAACGCACATCCCGGATGGGTTCTGGGGAGCCCAGAGTGAGCAACCGGATGATGTGCTTCAGACGATCCTGGAATTAAACTATTAGCGATCTATTAGAGATAGGATTGCAGCATCAAGTAGTTACCGGCGTAGAATTTCGCTTCAGAGCACCATCCCAATACATGGCGAAGACTTTCTAGCTCCGATTGTGCGATATCATGGGCTTGGTCGGCTTTATACTCATCCGCATCCAGGTAGGATATACGAGTTCCGTCTTTGTTATAAACCAAGTGCCAGTAGAGGCTATCCTCCTTCCGCCTGGTTAAAATAAGCATAGTTGAGAAGCCCTTGATATAGATCCTCTCTTTGAATCGATCAACCTGCTGAGTTTGAACTAGGCCGGCCATGATATTCAGTGGCATTTCTAGGCCTGTACCGTATTCGACTCGCTGCCGAATGGGATATCCTCGCACGATAACTGGATTTCTGAAAACATCATGCCAGCACCGGCCATTCATAGGCTCAGGAGACACTGGAACATCTTCTTGGGTGAAGCCAATTTGGCAGAAGAGGAAGCCTGCAGATAGCGGCTGTGACTTGAAACGCTGTAGAAATGTGCTGTCCTGGGGCAAGTCACAAATCTGAGGCGTGCAGTAGACAACACCTTCTTGTCTCTGCGATGTCCTCAACGCTGCTCCGAGCCAAGCTAGTTGTTCTCCAACTTCTATCACAGAACATGTATCGCCGCAAATCTCCACCATTAGTCTTGGTTTCGCAATCACGGCCCGTAAGGTTGATCCGCCGGATGAATCAACTATGATGGATGTTAAAAACATAGCCATTCCTTGGGTGATCCATTACCTACATTGATATGATCCATCCTCACTGGCAAGAACCCCTTTGATGAGTTCAGTTATCGTCTGTCCAGTTGATGGCCAGGTCTGTTGGATATACTGCGCACAAGTTGCCGCCTGCGCATCTAAGAAAGATCCAGTGAGAGTGATCACGGTTTCGAGCGCCTCTTCAGGCTTGTTACGATACGCTTGATCCTCGAAGAACGCATGAATATCCCAATCAAGGTCAAATACAACAGTTGAGCTCTTCGGAGTCTCCTTTCTGCTAACTCTTTGGGTCCGTGGAAGTAACTTCGCAATTTCCGCACGAATAGTCTGAATACTATTCGGCTCTGTTTGAACGAGACGGAATTCTCCGAGAAGTCGATTGAGTAGCCATTTGTACGCCTCACTGTCGGAGAGTAGGGCTTGGTAGGCTACAACCCATTCGAATGGCCCTTCTTCTTCTTCGTCCATCTCATCGAATGCGTAATCCTCGGTCATCTCATCAAAGTTCAAGTCCCCCATCTCATTCTCGAGTGGGGTCTGATCTTCATTCGTCTTCTCGTGCCACAGGCGCATACGGTCTTCCAGATCCATGGCATCAGAGGAATCAATGTTCTCATCAGTGATTTCTGGATCTTCTGCGAAGGCAATATCAATAAAGGCTGAAGCAATATCACTACCAATAGACATTCGTTAGTTCGCAGACTACGCAGTTTGTTGTCCGTATTTACCAAAGTGGCAAGCAAAATAAGGAGACTGACCGTCTGTTTCTATGGACAAAAGACATGATATCTCGATGCATTTGAGATGGTGCCCGGTAGCCAATCCTGAACGCGAAGGATTTTAGCAGTTCTGGCATGATGGCTGAGACTCTTTGCCTCGTGGCTTCATTCGCGTTGCACAAGTTCAGTTTGTTGAATAGATCACTCGCGAGTTCCCATATTAGTTTATGGCTCCTCGAAATCGAGAAACTGGAAAGATTAGAATACTGTGTTGCTGTGTCATCAGCGTCATCGCTCGCTAGTTCCTCCCGCGATGGTGCAGGAGCCTGGCTTTCCTGTTTTTTCAGTGATTCAAATCCTCTGGCAATTGGATTCGTAGATGCGTATCCTGAGTCCGTAGGAGGTACTGTCTCGGCCAAGATAGGCACCAGTGCAATGTGACTAAGCGCCTGCTGTTGTTGACTTGCAACTTGAGGCATGCTCTGATGTTCATATGGAGTTTCCGCCTTAGCCAGTTGAGCCTCAGACTGCGTGTTAAATCCATCCGCTTGAATATACTGGTTCGGCTGGGGGTGAGCGGGCTGCTTGGGATATGCCGGTGTGGAACTGTGAGGCTGCTGGTAGTTCTGGAGGAGGGTAGGGGTTGCAGTTTGATGATAATACTGCTCAGCCTTGGCTTGAAGGGCTTGCTGTTGGGCCTGAAGGGCTTGCTGTTGAGCCTGCAACCGAGCCTGTAGTCTAGCCTCATCCTCCTCCATGACACCTGATGCTCTGTTCTCAACTTCAGCGGTGTCTGCCTTCTGGGAGGCGGCTGCCTGCGTTTGTTGCTGAGCGTTATCGGGGCTGACCTCGATATAGTTTACGAGAATGTTGCAGTGGTCCACAGTTGTTGGTAAATCCGGCGTGGTTCGTATAACTCCATCAACCAAGAAGTGTATATGGTGCGTTCCGGGAAGGATATGAACAGTGGCGGCGAAACAGCCGGGCTTGCCCTCTCTGCGAAATCCATTATTAGCTATAAATATCCACAATAGGTGAGTTTCACACCGTATTCCAGCTCTCTTTGACCTCTATTCAAGATATATAATACGAACAGAAACATAATAATATAGTAAAAGCCAATATAAGCTACTGTACTATAATATATATACGTAACCGAAACGAATATCTTCTTGATAACAGAGTCACAAAAGCACGGGGTGAAGGGAGGGGAAATAGGACTTACACAGGGTGCAGCCGCTGCTTTCGATTCCATTGAAAGATGGAACCGGTGACATAAACCTTATCTCCTCCCTCCTTCCACTCGAGCTTGGTCGGCACGACGGGGCGGGTCTTATCGACTGGCAGCTCCTCGGACTCCTCCTCCTCAACCGTGCCGGCGCTCAGACTAGAGCTCTTCCTCACACCCTTGTATTGGTCTGACACACTCGCAGGCGGCAACGAAATTACAGCTCCCGAGGGCGAGTCCGCATCTTCAAAGCTTTTTGAAAGGCTGAGATCTTGGTCGTCCCCCGAAAGAACATCATTGTTGACAGATGTAGTGTTGAGAGGGTTCTTTGCGAAATTAAGCCTTATAGCTCCGTGTGTACTCTTCAGCTCAAGGATGTTACGAGCTTGAGAATAAAGTGCCGTTGAAGCAAGCGAGGCGTCTTCAAATTCCACAAAACACATTGCTCCATCCTGCTTCGTACGAAAGCGAAGTCGCTTGTATCCTTTTTGTTTGCAAAACAGTCCCTTAAGCTGTTCCTCATTTGTATGTACTGACAGGTTCCCAACACAGAGCGTATTGCAGGGGGGGTTTTGATCTTCGGGGTGAATGACGAAGAATTGATCTGCTTGATTTTGATGAGAATGTTCGTCAAGATTCTCTGCCTGTTGTGCCAGACTCTTGGCACTAATACGCTCATCAGGATTCAGTGCTAGCATTTTGAAGACCAATTGCTCAAGCGGGTCATTTACATTGAGGCTGGCCCTGAGACCATGGACCTCTGTAAGCCATTGAATCATTTGATCGACGGCCGACCTCCCGTTACCAATTGTCGTATGGGGGAGGTTCTTGTTGTTCACCCCCGCAATCAGCCAATATAGCGATTGAGCGCGGCCGCGTTTTGCGCGTCCATCAGGGAGACCAGTTTTACGGAGCAGATAGAGCACGGTAATGCCCAGCGCCCAGATATCAGAAGGCGGGCCACGAATCTTCGTTCCAATAAATTCTGGGGGGATGTAGTATGGCGTGCCACCAGTGAACGACGAAGTCTTGGTTGTAGTTGAACATCCAAAATCGCAGAGCACCCCCCCTCGTGAGTATGAGTATAGGATGTTTGCTGGCTTAATATCATTATGAATCACGCCATGCTCATGTATATAACTTAACGCGCTGGATATATCCTTTGCAATCCTTGATGCATCGGCTTTCTCTCCTGTGAACTCGTTTCCATTGGCAACGTCGCGCCACTGGCGACTTCCCAAGTCTTGGGCATCGACTGACTCCATATATATAGATAGAAATCGGGCGTCATGGCCATAGTATTGAACAATGGACTTGTGCTTCAGGCCTTGATAGTTTTTAACTTGCCTTTCCCACCTTCCAGCCAGATGGACGAAGTCGATGCATGACACATTGTGAGCTGCTCTTTGTGGGTGAAGAACCTTCACAGCGATGAGACCCGGACGCCTTGAATCTTCCGCAAGATAAATGGTGGACAAGGCAGATCTTGAAATACTGCGGTGCCTGAGAATGCGGTACTGATCAACAATTCGTCCCGGAACCGTGACAGACTCAGTATCGTTGTTACTGAGCAATGGATTGTTTTCCATGAAATTCGTTGTTGCAATGCCCTGGCTTAGGTCTAGCGCGATGGCTTTTCCGTGTTGTTGTTTTGGTATGATCCTGAATTCTGCAATGGCAATATCCGTTACAGTCATGCGCCAGGTGGCAGGACTCAAACTCTGTGCCATCCTCGAGTTGATGTTCACCGTGGTGCGAGAAACTAGGCTGTGACAACTGAGCTGAACGTCTGACCTATTCATTAAGATGATGTTATCATTGATAGGACTGAAGTACATGTCCCACCATAGGGCAGGCCGTAGACAATCATTTTGAGTCTCTGCGGGAATTCGCATAGAAAACTTAGTCTCGTTGGGGCTTTGACTGATGGCGAACAATTCGTGCTTGGCTTCTTGCTGCGCCAAAGCATCTTGCGGGGCTGTAGTAAGTATTTGAATATTTCCAATTTGATTGGGGGGAGTGTGAGTCCGATTATTCCCAGAAATTCGCATAAGGACGCGTGTTCCATCCTCATAATGGGAGTCCTCTATTTGAAGAGCGTCGAGAGAAACGGACCCGAAACCATCAAGAGTAAGCGCTTCTGACGGGGAATCCTTGTTTTTGTCCATCGTGGCAACTCTCCATCAGACTTGCTACGCGACGGCTTGGAGTTGGTTACGCCCCTTGTCGTGAGGATTATTGATGTATGAACAAGGATGCCAAAATAGCGCAGAGGCAGAGAAGAGAACATTGAAGTCATGTGATCGATATGCAAGTCAGCATCCCCAGTGATTGCCTCATCAGCTGAGGCGACAGTCAAAGTTTCTAGGAAGGCGAACCATATTCTACTGCGCCTTGAACTATGGGCCGCCTTTCTTCGCCTTACAAGGTATATTAGATTGCGAATTCGGAAAACGTGGTGAGAGTTACATATGGTGTAGGGTATGTAGTAGGGTAGACGCGTGGTTCTCCATAACTGTTGTTGGTGTTACGCAACCATAGTTTGTCTCCCAAAATGCGGGTTGCAAGTGTTTGATGGTTGTGCTTTAGCCTACCTGAATTCTCATGCCCTGTCGCCTCTTCTCCGAATATTTCTGTGTTATATTGGGGTTGGTGTGATGTGAAGAGAGCCGCCGGAGCAGTTCTGGTGCTAATTGAGCTCCACGGGTTTAGATAATTGGGGAACTAGACTGTTTCTCAAGCCTTGAATCAGCAGAAAAAATCATCTGATTCAAATCGGTATGCCCTTTGTTACCTTCCTATAAGTAGTGGTAGAGCAAAGAGTCATTAAGTCCTGGTTCTTCGAAACGCCCGAGTTTGCATGAGTTCAACAAGGTCACCACCAGAGAAGGACGAGAGTGTCTGTGCGAGATTGAGGCTACGTACTACAGAATAATCTCTCATCTGGATGATAATTTCGGGCGCATCATCCCGCGTTTAGATGAACTTGACATGTAGAAGGATACTGCTCCCATGAGTGAAGCTCGCGTCCCAAGAGACAAGCTGGAGGAATGAAAGACAATAACCTACCAGTGCGGAATAGCCGATTTAGCCTAAAGACAACAGAAGATGATAACAGCCTAGTCTGGTTCTTGACTTTGCCCCCGCAATCACCTGATCCCTGTCTCTGTATCCGGAACCATCCCCAGACCAGTCGTTCGGAAGATTCCCCAGAAATCTGCATCCGAGGCTCTCCTTGTCCAGCTCTCCCGGTCCGCAGACTGCGTCCAGATGGATGACGCCGATGACAGCACACGCCCTCCCAAGCGTCGCAAGATCCGGATCGCATGCCAACAATGTCGCGACAAAAAGACGCGATGCGACGGGGCGCGGCCCGTGTGCCAGGCCTGTGTGCGCAAGAAGCTGGGCCCCGAGAGTTGCGTCTACCTCGACCCCTCGTCTGAGCTCTCGGACACTCGGTACGTCCAGGGCTTGGAAACTCGCATCAGAGAGCTGGAGCAGGTCGCGCGGGGTGGGTTTGCAGACACAGCTGGTCCGACGAGTCGGCTGAACAACACGCGCCCGCCAGATCATGGACCAACTTCACAGCCCGAACCGAATCGATCGAGTCGCGAAATAGCTTTGCCTCGTAACGACGATAGAAACATGTCGAGATATTCGAAGCCGGTGTCTCCATCTGCGCAGACGATCGAGTCGACCCCTCATACAAACGATGCTCATATTGTTGCGGCTCACCTCCTGGGTCTCAATGGCTACCGCGAGCAGCCTTCGCGCGTTCCGGACAGTTTCCAAGACTTCCCTCCTCAAGGCGACGCCTCCGATGCCACAGCAATGTTCCCGGGGGATGATCCACAGCCAAAAACCCCACGAAGCCATCCCCAACTTTCTCATCGCCAGCAACATCGGGTTACCGAGCCACCAGCAAGGCCCAGTAGCTTCTTGTCTCAGGGCAGGACCGGCTCGTATGTACCGCCTACCCAAGGAGACCTTGAAAACACCGAGATGGACGAAGATGAGCAGCCGAGTGATGCCATGGGCGCTTCCGAAGGAACACCGATAAACTCCAACAACAGCCTCTTCTTTGGCCCATCAAGCGCGGCTGCCTATATGAAATCAGTCCAAGAGACTCTGGGTACGGGGGGTCATGGCTTTCATGGTGCGGAAGACGGCGTGAGCTCAACCGTTTCGCGCGCGTCCTATAGGCGGCAAATGAAGTTGAAAAGGGACATGGAGAATCTGCTTGATGGATTGACCCTGCCGACACGAAGATTGGCCGACGCACTCCTTGAGGTGTACTGGGACAACATACATCCTTTCTACCCCATACTTCACAAACCATCATTCATGCGCAGGTCAGTCGATCAGTCTCTGAATCCCAGCTCAGGCTGTGCCCGCCAACGTTGAGCCGGACCGTTGTTGAACTGACGATCCCTAACCCAGGTATAATGAGATCTGGTCACAGGCTGACAGCAGCCACGACGAGTTACACCACTTCGACGGAAACGTGCAAAGGCTGAGAGCGTTCCACGCAACTCTCAACATTGCACTTGCCCTTGGATGCATTCGCGCCCGTTCCGACGCTTCTTCTTTGAAAAGCGCCAAGATTTATTATGACAGATCGAGCCAGTTACTTCAGGACGCGGATATGGAACAAGGGTCAATCCAGCTGGTCCAGGCCCTGGTCCTCACCGCACAATATCTGCAGAGCACCGATATGGCCAACAGATGCTGGATAACCATTGGCAACGCCATCCGAATAGCTCAGGGAATTGGAGTGCAGCTGGATCGTCCCTCTGAGAGTCAGGCTGAGCGTGAAGAGAGGAGGCGGACCTGGTGGTGTTGTATCCTCATGGATCGGTAAGCCGCGCCATATTTAACTTGGTAGGCTTGATACAGCTAACATGTTGCTGAAGGGTGTTGAGCATGACTTTCGGTCGGCCGGTCATGGTTGTTTGGCGAACAGTGGTCCCGAAACCAGAACCTATAGATGATGAATCCCTGTCTGAAAAGCCTGGGAGTTCCAGGGAGCCGATGACAATGCAGGAACTCTCAACGAATGCCTTCTTTTCTCAGACACTCAAGCTTACTGATGTTCTGATGTTGGTGCTCACGTTAGTGGTCCCCTTAGCAACCTCCGTGAGTGTCAATGACTAACTTCAAGTAAGAAATTTCTACCGGCCTGTCGAGGAAAGAAGAATTAGCACCCTAAGCAATGACCCAATCTCTAAATTAACTCTAGTCGTTGAAGTAGACAACGAGTTAGCACGGTGGCGACAGCAATTACCTCAGCACCTGATATTCCAGCCATCCGAGCTGTCTAGCGAGACCAATCCTATATATACAAGACAGGCGGCTTTGCTTCATTCCCGGTAGGTTGATGAAAACAGGAATCCTAACTCGTTGAATGATTACACTGAAGAGCTGACTCTTACTTCTTTTAGGTACCTGCACCTAAGAATACTGCTGTTCAGGCCCATAACCATAGACCTCTCTAGTGGCGTTCTTTTAGCGGCTACGGAACCGCAAAGGTCGACCGACTTCCAACATATGGTGATTACAGGATGTGTTCGCTCATGTGTTTCGGCTGCTCAGGAGCTAGTCGATTTGCTTCACATTCAGCTACACAGCGACTGTGCCCCCCCGCGTTGGTATGCGGTGTTCTGTAAGGATCTCTTCTGAACCTTTACTCCCGTATGCCACTAACGTTAAGCTTTCAGATCTCTTCAGTGCCGGGACCGTTCTGCTTTCGGTCTTAGTCTCACCAAATCTTCAGCGCGCCTGTACAGAAAGTCTAGAAGGACTTCTGAACACATGGTCTCGCTGTATGGAGACTTTGACGTACTATGGGCAGATGGGCGACATGTTCGCCAAGCGATGTCATAAGATTCTACAGGCGGCTTTATCTCCCCGTTCCCGGCTGGTCTATGATCAAGGTAAAGACCATCTGTCAGCAAGCACTTCGCAAAAGAAACCAGCTAATCTGTTGAGATGAAGACCCCATTCAGACCGAAAACAGCGAACACGCCCACCGAGTGTCAAACGAGGGTAACGTGGACCAGCCGTCCACACTGGATGAGTTCCAGGCGTTGCTACAAGATCCGGATCTCGCCGATGCTATGGCATGGCCGGCAGGGAGTCAGGACTGGCTCAACAGCCTACCAGAGGAGAGGAGCGGTGTTTTCGCCCCAAATGATTATGTGACGTCCATCTAAGCGCTTAAAGCTCCGTCTCATAGACCTCTTTAGATGTATAAGTCATTAGACCGATATCTATTTGTATATGTACTTGTAAGGCTCCAATTTGAGTAACTGAACTCTTATAAGCTCTGCCGTGAAACCACTACTTCTGGTCGCAACAAAGAGATTGTTCGTGTGTGATTGACGATTCCGTCTTCAAACTGATGTACGACTAAGCTCGCTTGATCCGAAGTAAAGTTTGATGGGGAGCTGGTGGAGAAAGGGAGCGTGTGACTGGAAAGAACAGTTCGGGGAATGATCCAAACCAGAAAAGCCGACGTCATGAGCTTGTATATTTAGACTTTCCAATGGGAGAGGGAATAGCCGAATAAATCAAAGAACCCCGGCTATTGAGCGAGCTCTCGGGGTTGACCCTGGGTCTCGGGCTTTATCCTATAGGGATTATGAGAAATACATAACTTGCGTGTGGAACCCCGGCTATCAAGCGAGATCTCGGGCTTTACCCTGTGGGCATTATGAGATATGTACAGCTTGCTCGGCGGCTAGGTAGCGAGGATGCCCCTGCAGGGATGTACTACAGCCAGGAGTCAGTCCGCGAGAGCATTCGGAGCATTCCCCGGGCACAACGACTTCCCCGGATACGCTTAGCCCAAAACATTGGGAACTGTCCAGTAGTCTCTTTCCTCGCACGTAGCAATGGCGGTATGCAAACGCCGCCTAGCGATTTAGTTATTGGAGAGTCCAGTGAGAGAGTGTACAATGACTCAATGAGCTTGATGGAAGCACCTAACCGCGCTAGCAGCTGAAACTCATCGCTGATTTGATTCAAAGTACGACTGATCAGTGGTGTAATGGTCCACTAAACCAAGACGATGCAAGATTAAGCAGCGCGTGGTGTCCATCTTACCCCAGCCAACTCAGTCAGTCGACCCCAGACCCCATATGCCCCGGATTCTGCACTTGAGGAGTCTTCTCCTTGTTAATCCCACCTACATAAGAAGTTGACGATCCTTCATGGGGTTGGTCATACCCATCTCACTCCCACAGACCACATCTCATACCTTTCACCACACAGCAGCCAAAGTACTTTAACTTTGTCGAGTTTTGCCTTGCAGCAAGGCCCCCTGCTGCCAACATGTTGACCTTCCTGCGGGACCACAATTACAAGGTCACCCAGCATCTGACCACGAACCTAATGTTGGCTTCGATGGTGATGATGACCAGTGTCTTCTCCTACGGTTTTGAGAATTCGGTCTTGTCCACGATCCAGGCCATGACCGGTGAGTACTTCAAATTTCAATCTGCTCTGATGACGACTCTAACGCCAAATAACCGACCAGCATACGAACGCCAATTCGGAGAGAAGAACGCGAAGACGAGCGAATGGGAGTTCAGCGCGACTCGTCTCGCCATGTTGAATTCTTTGCCCTTGATTACATACGCCATCGGTGTCGTCGGTGCTTCCTTCATTGGTGAACGCTACGGCCGCCGGATCGTCTTCGTCATCATCAACTCCTTCTGTCTCGCGGGTATCGCACTCAGCTACGCGGGCAAAAGCTTCGACTACGCCATGGCCGGCAGAATGATCATCCAGCTTCATGTTGGTGGTGAGGCGTGGTTGGTGCCCATGTGGATGGCTGAGGTTGTCCCTGCCGCTGTGCGTGGCTCCAGTAAGCTGACCAAGATGCCTCCCCTTCTCCAGGATTTCCTCGCTGACAGTTGGTCATCATTCCAGTGGTTGGTCTCTACGCTTTCAGTCATGTCCTCGCCGGATTCATAGCCTCCGTCATTACCGATCAAACGAGCAAAATGGACGATAACAATAGTTGGAGGATTCCTGTTGGCTGCATGTTCATTTTTCCCTCCTTCGCCATACTCACTTCGTTCCTCCTCCCAGAGTCACCCCGATGGCTCTTGCGCCAGGGTAACCATGACAAGGCCGTCGAGATGATCTATTATCTGCGCAGCGCAGATCGTGACTTTCCAGCCGAGGCCGAGATTCAGCACATCCAAGACACCATCAACGAAACTCCAACTAAGGGCAAGTGGTCTGAGCTCTTCAAGGGAACTAACGCGGTATGTCATATGATCTCCATACCGGGAATGGATACAAGGAAACTAACTAGATCATGATTCAGCGTCGCACATGGGGCGGTCTTATCGCGGCCGGCGCAGTGCAGCTCACTGGCCAGTCTTTTGCATCCAACTACGGCACCATCTTCCTCAAATCGGTCGGCGTCATTGACCCCTTCACCGGCACCATGATCAAGAGAGCGGGTCTTCTTATCGGATGTATCTTTGTGATTACCTTTGTCGAGAAAATTGGCCGCCGACGAGTTGCGCTTGTCGTCGGCTCTATTTCTGCTGCCTGTCTCATGGTCATGGGCGGCTTGGGCACAGTCACCCCTCCCAACCCAAGCGCGCAGAAAGGCGTGTTGGCAATGTCAATCATCTTCCCGTGCGCCTACATGATTGCATTCGGCTCGACGTAAGTTGTGAAACCCACCAAGATTTCCCGTGCAAACTTGAGACTGATTTGGCGTTCATCAACGTTTAGCATGACTGTTGTCAAGTCTGAGATCCCGCATACGGCGCTCCGAGACAAGTCCAACCTCCTCTTTTGGTCATTTTCCAACGTTGCGAACTTCCTAGCCACTTTTACCCTTCCATATCTGCTGAAGGCTCCTTATGCCAACCTCGGCTCAAAGGTTGGCTTCATTTATGGTTGTACCAGCACGCTGTTTGTCGTCTTACTTTTCTTCTTCGTACCGGAGATGACCGGAAAGTATGTACTTTGTCCATCGACACGATAAATACCCAGAAAGGCTTGATGTCGCTGACTGTTCTTTTGCAGGTCACTCGAAGAAATTGATGAAATGTTCGAGTCCCGAATTCCAGCGTGGAGAAGCAGAGGTAAGACAAATTCCCAACCTCGACTAGCTTGATTAACATACTAATCGAGGTGAATGAGTAGGCTTCAAGGCTACTGGCGCAGCTGCATCTGTCACAAAAATTGGGGCGCACGGGAGGACCTCCATTGACTCAGCCAAGGCTCGAGGCATTGAGCATGTCGAGTCAAAATAGGACTCAGAGCTAGAGGTTGGAGTGAGCTCGTGGATCACACATTGATGAATGGTTGTGTATGTAGCTGTTGACACAGGAATATATGTGTAGTTGATGGATAATGATTGGAATGGCATCTGTGTGTTTCAACAGCAGACGTGTTTATGGCGTGGCTTTGATCAAGTAGCAGATTGGGAATTCAAGTCACCATACCTTTCAAGTACATTCGCTCATTCTCAACGCCATCCAAATTTTTTATCATATCTTATCAGTATTAAAACTCTATCACCCGGCCGTGAAGGTATCAACACGCACCTGCCATCGTTCAAATGATGCCTAAGTTATCAATCCCCGTCTCAAGGTTTATTAGAAGGTGAAACAGAATTCTCTCGAATTATGTTCAATAAATCCCTATGAGACGAGGCATTAAGGAACACAGAATATATGATCAGAATTAAGCGAACTCGAATCTATATCTTCTCCAAGTTACTGGTGAGAGGTAGCTCTTTCCGATAACTATGCTTTACATTTATAGACCGTGGTCAAGTTCAACAGCCCTTTCTGTAATACACATACATGCAGATGCTTGCTCTGTCATTTTATGTCTTGATATTGCTGTCAGACTCTAGCAGCTTCCATTGCCGTTGAACTTTGCACTCTTTTCTCTTACGTACATTTCTTGATACAACGAAGAAAAGCCGTGTCAGAGGTTGTCTACCAAGTAGTCAACCCAAAGAAGAGGGGTTCAGCTGTGACAAACTAAGGAATTAGACTGTCATCGGCAACAACGGCCATATGCCAAGATGCGGAGGTGAAGATTGCGGGGTGAGAATGTACTCGGGGAGTGTTCCGAGCTCTTTCGGAATCCTCCGCGCCAATCACTTTTTTGCTTAAGAGCTACCGAAGATGCTATAGTATATCGTCATTCTAAATATCAAGGTTTATTGTATTATCATAAATTCGAAACGTTCACTTTATAGTGCATTTAAGAATTGCAGCTTCTTAAACAGCTTAGTTCGCGTCTACAGTATTCGAAGTCAAAGAAACTAGGACGAGCTTCGCATTTAAATCTAGCAGTAACATTCCCGACTTCTTCTTTCGTTACAATGCCTAAAGACGGTAGACCGAATTTCCTCGTCATCGTCGCCGATGACCTCGGTTTCAGCGACCTCCAACCTTATGGCGGAGAGATCCAGACTCCCAATATCGCCAAGCTTGCCGAGGAAGGCCTGCGCATGACGGGCTTCCACACGGCTGCGTCCTGCTCACCCACCCGCTCCATGCTCCTGTCTGGAACAGATGCCCATATCGCTGGGTTAGGCGCTATGGCCGAATGGATAAGAAAGGTGCCAGAGCTGTTTCAAGACCATCCCGGATACGAAGGCTATTTGAATCATAGGGTGGCCGCCCTTCCAGAGATCCTCCAAGATAATGGGTACTGGACCATGATGTCCGGGAAATGGTATGCAACTTCCCGTCTAGAAATACTTACTCGACAAGTTGGGCAAACGCTGACTTGTACTTTGTAATATCAATCAACAGGCATCTAGGTCTCAAGAAGGAGTTGTCACCCTCCGCCCGAGGTTTCACAAAGGTTCTCTCAACGCTCCCAGGAGCCGGAAACCACTTCAACAACGAGCCCCAGCTATACGATCACGAAGACGAGAAGCCCAAGGCACTGCTCAAGGGCAATGAGGGTTTTTGGATGCGTGATGACAAGTTCATCAGCGGGCGCGACGATTTGCCTAAAGATTTCTACTCGTCGAACACCTTTACCGACTACTTTCTCGACTTTATGCGCGGGAGAAACGAGGAGGAAAAGGAGAAGCCATTTTTCGGGTACCTTGCCTTTACTGCCCCTCACTGGCCACTACAAGCGCCTCGGGAAACGGTCGAAAAGTACAAGGGATTTTACGATGATGGACCAGAAGCACTCCGGGAGAGGCGACTTCGAAGCATGATTGAGAAGGGGATAGTGCCGGCTGACGTCGAGCCCGCGCCCTTGCACACCGCAGGGACGAAGCCATGGAGCAAGATGGACGAGGAAGAACGCAAAAAGTCATCTCGTGCTATGGAGGTGCGTTTAAATATTTCACCTTCGCCAGAAGAACCAATTGTTCCGTTGCTGACAGTATTCAGATTTTTGCTGCCATGGTTGATCTTATTGACGTCAATGTGGGCAGAGTGGTAGAGTATCTACGTGAGACCGGCGAGCTCGATAATACCTTCATTGTCATTATGTCCGACAATGGTGCCGAGGGCCAATTACTGGAAGCTGTGCCTATCCTTGCTGGACACACACTAAAAGACGTCATCACAAAGTGGTATGATAACTCGCTGGAGAACCTGGGCAATCACAATAGCTTCGTTTGGTACGGTCCCCAATGGGCGGGTGCAGCAACTGCACCGAGCCGAGGAGTTAAGACATTCACGACGGAGGGCGGAATTCACTGTCCCTGCATTGTGAGATATCCCCCTCTCTTACAGAAGCAGGGTGTGATTGCGCCAAACTTCACCACCGTCATGGACGTACTCCCAACCTTCCTCGAGCTTGCTGGCATCCAGCACCCAGCGCCAACGTTCCGTGGGAGGCAGGTAGCGCCCGTCCGCGGTAGGTCTTGGGTCCCGTTCCTCAAGAGCCCCGATGATGAGAAGCTCCAGATATACAACTCTACGAACGATATCGTGGGCTGGGAGCAAATTGGAGTTGCGGCTGTGCGATTGGGAGATTGGAAGGCTGTTTTCATGCCTCCGCCGCGTGGAAGCGGTAAGTGGGAGTTGTACGATTTATCAAAGGATCTCGGTGAGGTCCACGACCTTGGTGAGTCTCAGCCTGAGAAACTGGCAGAGATGATTGCCCACTATGAGACGTATTTCCAAGAGACAGGCATGTTCGACTCACACGCGGTATACCAATCGGCTTTGAAAAAGACTGGGTTCCCAGTAGATGCTCATATGAAATCATATGAGCAATCCTCGGCATAAAATAGTAATTGAGCCTATATCTATTCTCAAAAAAATGAAGTTCAAGAGGAACTGAATATCAAAACATGAAGCTGAATTCAATACATCGATCCCTTCAGTGATAGAACGAGATATTTCATAAGACCGATGGCCTTCCTCTAATCTCCATTGGAATTTCTACAAACAGAATCATGTAAACCCAAGCCACAAGCCTATCCACAAACAGTAACTAGGTTGAGATGTTTAAAATTACAATTGATCATTCCGGGGTCCCTCCACGTCGTCATGAAATGGTCTGATAGAAGTCCCAGAGCTTGGCAGCCCCATCCTCCCACTGGATATCGTTCTGTAAATGATGTCCAGCCCCTTTCACAAGTTCCATCCGTACAGAATCCTCGCCATTAACGCCTCCTGAAGCCTCGCGATAATACGCCGCAGTTTCTGTAGTGATTTGAGGTGACATGATTTTGTCTTGTGAGCCGGCCATTACCAACATCCTACCATGGTGGATGTGTTGCAAAACTGATCCGGCAGGGGCAAAAGGCCTCATCATACTGAACGGCCACAAGTAGCTCTCATAACGGTTCATGCGCTTCTGGAATGGGATGACAGCAGACAGAGGAAATCTATCTCCAAAAAAGACTCGCTGCGTCAAAATAGGATGCGAGAGAGGTGAGTTTGAGTGATAGCCGTGCAAGATGAGTCGCAGACAGAACCAGGGATCCAGCTTCATCCAATTGATATACACACCCAAGCTAAAAATATTTCCAATATTAGCATCGTAAAACAATCAGTCTTGTATCTCAGCGCAAGAAGTAACTCACGATCCGTATCCTGGGACGGCGCCAAGGAGGGCCAGACCTTCGACGTCTACTCTCCCTTCAGACAGAACTCCCTGGCTCAGGCCACCACCGCTCGAGTGACCAACAAGCACAACATTCCGATTCTCTCGCTGCTCAACCCATCTGAGACCAGAAACGAGGTCATCGCTAAGCATACGGCGACTGGTTCCAAAGAGCATCCGGAAATATGAAGGGTACCAGGAGTCGCCGTGCCCGCGAAGGGAGATGGCATAGCTTCGCACGCCGCGGACAGCTAGATACTGCATATACTCGGTCCAGACCCAGGCGCAGCCCATGCCGCCGTGGCAGAAGTAGATGGGAGGTCCATCGGAGGGTGTGACATTTGTGGGTGGTGTCGCTGAGAGGATTTCCAGTTTACCTTGTGGTGTATCAATCCAATGCCGCTCCAGGCCATCAGGGACGGGAGAGGGAGGGCCTGGGGGCGGTTTGGTGTAAGAGAGCCATTGATAGCTGAGATGGAAGTTCATCATGAAAGGGGGCGTTGACGGGAGGGTTCAATGTTAGATGGCAATGATGACGGTTGATGGCGGAATTGAAGACAGTCGAGCCTTCTATGGTGCAGCTAAGGCATGAGACAATGAAGTGAATTTTCAGCAGCGAGCGCGAGTGTGTGGCTTTTTGTATGGACAGGCGCTTTCAGCTCTGAGTCAAATGATGCATCAGGGCGGCGTTATCCCACAGCCGAAAGCACAACTCCAGCCATTCACAGCCGCAAGCTAAAGCTCAGCCAACAGCCACATTTGGCCCGTGTCATACATTTGGTGTCGCGTTGCGGGTGAAATAGGGACGAAGCCCAGCCAACGAAAAGCGCCTAGAATAAGCTCTGCTCATCACGAGGCATGGTAAGATGTGCTAGGTAATAGGTCGGAGTGAGCAAATGCAGATTCTAGTCATATCTGACACCTGTGAGCACCTTGACATCAAAATACGTGAGATCTCTCTGGGATTGTTTCGTTGATGCCTGTGTGGTGGCTTGGTGGGTTTCTCCCGACTGACGAGTTCCGATGGCTGGGTGCAGTTTGTTCCCAGCCAATCGAATGCTTTTTAGGGCTGCTGTGATTCAATAAATGATCCTGCAAACGCACCTGTATTCGGCTAAATTCGAGCTTCCTCTCTCCATTCGCCCTTACTCACAGAAGCCTAGCTCTTCCAACACAGTTCAACCCAAGGCCCGGGCTAATTCAGGAGCTATGCCTACATGGAACCAGAGAAACAAATCCTGGTACCCATAGAACCTAATAAGCTAAGACAAGTCGCGTAAGCGAAGCAAAACAAAACAGTGGATGAGCTCACACAGAACTCCATTATTCACCTACCCTAGATCTGGTACACTGCGGCCAGTCGAGGCCAGTTTAAAGTAAAGAACTGTTTTATTGGAACCATCAGCGTGGTTTTTATGGTAAGTAGGATTATTATGAGGCTATAGTATTTCTTTGGCTGTTTTCTTATATTTGAAATACTCAATCTAGATAACCAAATATCACTGAAGAGTGAGATATCTCCGAAATTTTCAAAAAGTGATATTTTCACAATGAAGTCCAACTTATCGAGAATTCATAATTCGAGGTAGAGAAAATATGCATATTCCCGGGAAGAGATTATTCAAAGAATAATTCTAAAGTACTATAATATTCTTATTTATAATTATCAGCTATATGGGAATTTCCTATTATATAGTTAATAAAATCAAATATTAAATAATAGAACTCTAATAATATTACTATTATTAGTTTAATATTAGGTTATAAGGTATATACTGCTATTATTAGTTTAATATTAGGTTATAAGGTATATACTGCTATAGTTATCTAACTAGGTATATAATCCTATATATATTTATAACTAATATATAGATTAACTAGCTAAATATTAAAGAGATTATCTCTAATTTACTTATATAATTAAATCCCTATATCTTAAGCTTAAAAGTATAATCTAGCTAAGAGATCTAGGCTTATATAAGTAGATAAATTACTAAGATAAACTAATACTAATTAGTATTATATTTAAATATATAATATAAATTAGTAAGGGAGATAAATATAGGATTAATCTAATATAATACCTCTAGATAGTACTTTAGTTCTTTCTAAAGGTTTAATTAGTAATTATAAGAGCTATATTATTTTTAAAATATTCTCTATCTTTATATTTATTAAACCTTAGCTCCTTAGAATATCTTAATAAGTAATTATAAGAGATATATTATTTTTAAAATATTCTTTTTTCTTATAACTACTTAATAATAAAACTTATAATATCTATTATATAATCTTTAAGAGTACTATTTATATATAAAAGATA